ACACACACACACACACACAGGTGAAAGAGGGCCAGTAACAAAGCTGTAGCCTTGTCCCACATCTGGATCTTTCTGTACTGATAAGAAAATAGCCCTCTTGGATCAAGTTAGCCTGGCCAAATTTAGAACAAACAGATATTTAACGTTCCCCCTCTTGTAAGTTACTAAACCACTTTGTAACTAGGCTACTGTTAATATGAATAAAAGATGATATATTTTTAAAAATTCTTGTTCAATATAAACTGTAACTTTGGTAATTGTTGCCACATAAAATAAATCTGGGTGAAGGAGGTACATCTTTACCTCATCCCAGGGTTTAGGGGACAATAAGTGATGAATTTTTAAAAATTCTGAATCAGGTTCCCATTGGGGGTGATCTTGTCCCTCCTCTTCCCCAGGGGACCTTTAGCAATGTCTGGGCATTTTTTATTGTCACTGCTGGGCTAGGCAGATCCTACTGTCATTTAGTGGGTAGTGCCAGGGATGCTGCTAAACATTGCACTGTGCTCGGAACAGCCCCCCATGACAGAGTTATCCCTTGCAGAATGTCAGGAGTGCTGAGGCTGAGAAACCCTGCCGTAACTGTCGGGTTTACTTTTCTTTTTTTTTTTTTAATATGTCTTTATTGATTCAGAGAGAGAAACAGAGAGGGAGAGAGAGAGAAACATCAATGATGAGAAAGTCACCAATCGGCCGCCCCCTGCACGCCCTCCACTGGGAATCGAGCCCATAACCCAGGCATGTGCCCTGACCGGGAATCGAACTGTGACCTCCTGGATCATAGGTCAGTGTTCAGCTGCTGAGCCACGCCAGCCGGGCACTTGCTGACATTTTCAGTGGATTCACTTTAATTTAGTTAATTCAGAGGTGAAATTAACAATAGTACTGCAATCCTTCTTTGTGTTCTACACTTGGCCTTGGTACCTGACCAAGGTCAGGACAAGCTCTGGCCATGCGTGAAGGCCTCAGTTCAGGCAGCTGACAGTAACAGCTTTTGAACTGTGTGTCCCAGTGGTAACAGTGAAAGGAAACGAAGAACTGACATGAGAATGAGTACCCAGGGCCACAAGAGAGAATGAACGGCAAAAGTGTAGTGTGCGCCCAACAGTTCAGAGTGTTGGAGAGTCAGCTGGTGGCATCCCCTGGAGCTTGGTGGAAATGCCGACGTTCAGGCTCCCCTCAGACCTACTGAATCAGAATCTGTGTCTTAGCAAGATTCCCTCATGATGCTTGCGCACCTGCGCAGAGCAGCACTGGAGAAGCATTTTTTGCTTTGGAGGAAAATACACTTTGATTGCAACTCTGACTCTTACTGGCATTGTGACCTTGTCCAAGTGAAAGACAGCCTCACTGCACCTTAGTTGTTTGGCTGTAGAATGGGATGACACTGCCTTTCTCATGAGCTGGTCGTGAGAATCAACAAGGTGGTCAAGGACTCATCACATGGACAAAGCTCAACAGGCTGAGCTGTGACAGACAATAAGAAGGCAAGAGCGGAGAACATTAGGGAAGCGGTTTATGCCTTAAACCCCACATCCTCCTCATCAAGCAGTGCTTCCACTCTTGGCAGATCTCATGTCTCTGAATAGGAAAGTAGCTACAAAAGCTGGAGCTTCACAAGCTTCTATAGACTTTGGTCCTTGTCAGCGACCCCGTTGGCAGAAGTAAATGGACCAAACAGCCTAAACTCCTAGACGTGTTCCCGCAGCCTGACCTGAGTTACACCTGCTCTGCTCATTATGTCACATGGGAAATTAATGCAGCAGGAATTTTCAAGACACCCAGGAGAAAGGCTGTGGTAAACAGAAAAGATGAGGTTAGAGGAAGGAGACTGGGTGAGATGAGTCCTTGTCTTATAGCAGGGCTTAAGAATGGGAAAGAATGCCATACTGTTTCACTTATATGTGAGCAAAATAAATGGACAAACAAAATTGAAACAGACTCATGGGCACAGAGAACAGACTGATGGTTGCCAGAGCGGATGGGGGCTTGGGGGACAGGGTGAAAAAGGTGAAGGGATTAAAAAGTACAAGTTGATCGTTACAAAATAGTCCTGGGGATGTAAAGTACAGTATAGGTAATATAGTCAATAATATTGTAATAACTGTGTGTGGTGCCAGGTGGGTACTGGAAACATCAGGGAGAACACTGTAAAGTGTGTGATTGTCTAACCACTGTGCTGTACACCCGAAACCAATACAAAATAATACTGAATGTAAACTGTACTTGAAAAATAAGGTTAAGAAAAAATTGTCTAACAGACAACAACAAAGAAGAAAGGGAAAGAACTTTCAGGTTAACGTCCCCTCCTGTCCCGTTGCCTGCGGGGTCCCTGAGCCCTTCTTGCTCACACGTGGAAGCGCGGACCTGCCGCTCTGACCGCTGTCCCGGGGCCCCCTCGTCAGCCAGGAGTCACCGTTTGGAAGCGAGGCCCTTGTGAACCAGAGGGAGTGTAAATACTTCCAACATGAGATAAAGCGGAACCTGAATCATAACTGAGTGTCCAGCAGAGTCTCAACAGCCCAGATGGTAAAAGGGGAAAAAGAAAAAAGGAAAGTGTTCGAATGGAAGCGCTCAGGCTGCTGGAGAGAGGGAACGGCATCAGATTCCTCTGGAAAGGAGGGTTGAAGCTGGGCACAGTCCACAGTGACTGGTCCTGTGTATACAGGTGGTTCGGGGATTGGTTTGTCTTCTGGGCGTTTTGCAGGAGAACATTTTTCAATCTTTGATTTAAATCAGAACAGTTTTGCATTATTTTTCCTTGATTTTCTGATTATAAAAATGTTTCTCATCATGAATTCAGGAAATACAAAGGAGAACAACGCATGTGCCCAAACCCAGCACCTGCTCCTCTCTCCTTTTATTCAGCAGTTACTTATGAAGTACCTGCTGGGTGCCAGGCACCGTGCTTGGTGCTGGGCAAACCCTTGTTGACAAGGTGGCTTTGTTGAGTCTTCTTAGAGCTTCCAATTGACAGGCTAAATCTCAGCATTTTTTTCTGTGCTATCGAACACGTTATAGCAGACAAAAAGAGCTAATTAGTTTATTGTATTCTTACTGTGTGTTGGATCCTGTTTTAGGTGGTTTAGATCATGCGTATTAACTCAGTCCCTCTAGCACCACAATGAGGGAGGTGCTGTTATTCCCACTTAACAGATTGGGAAACTGAGGCACAAAGAAGTTAAGCAACTTGCTAAAGGTCACAGAATCAATGAAGGCAGACTCTTGATTAAAACCCAGGCAGCCTGGCTCTAGAGCCTAACCTATTAGTCACTGAACTGTACTGCCTGTCATAATGTAATAATATTGATATCATGCTATACACAGTTTTGATTCCTGAATTTATATCGATCATTAACACATGAGCATCCTCCCATAATGTACATGAACTGTGTATTATTTCTTACCAGTAAAAGAAATAGAATTTTAATTTATTTATTTGTTTACTAGGAGCACAATGAAATAAGCATATATAGAAATGTGATGCTAAGCATTTAAATGCTACAGATTTAAGATTTCTTAATGCTTATCATAATTTTTTAGTTTAATTTTTGTTTTTTAGATTTTATTTTTAAATTACAGTTTACATTCAATATTATTTTGTATTAGTTTCAGATATACAGCACAGTGGTTAAACAGTCATATGCTTTACACAGTATTCCCCCCAATCATAATTTTTTTTAATCCAGCAATTTTAAGAGGAGTTAACATGGACAAGTGACTCTAGGAAATTAAACATTTTGTAGTTTGTGTTTGATTTTATAGCAGAAAACAAACCCAAGGTCAGATGAAGACAGTGAGCAGCCGATGCTGATGACTGTTCTGGAAACTTACCGTAACGTGGAACTGTGGTGGAGCTGTGGGCTAGAAGAGATTGTATGTTATATTATGGGTGACTGTGAAGGGCTTCTCACGGCATGCATTCAGACCGTGACTGTATTTAGGTTGAGTTTAGACAGAAGTTCCAAGAATGAGTTGTGTCAGGTGAGGTCCACCTATACGAGAACGTGTGCTGCTCTTCAGAGCTAGGCTCGCAGCAAGCAGGGGTGCTCTGTGCGTGCTGTCGGTCCGTGTGAGTGATAACACTGTGTGCCAGCAACACAGTGTCTGCAGTCAAGAAAGGTACAGGCTCACGAACTGTGAGGAGATTTCAACTAATAAATAGAAATTTAGAACTTGATGACTGCTAGGAAACATTAGAATAGTGGGGATATCCAGCAGAAAGCTTGGACTTCCGAGTCAGACATAAGTTGGGATCTCGATGCACCTGCTCCTTCACTGTATGGCCCTGGGCAAGTTTCTTGGCTTCTCTGAGACTTAGTTTCCTTTTCAGGCTAATCCCTCTGCCTTCTGGAATTGTCCTCAGGATCAAATGAGTCATTCTACACAAAGCACCTGGTACAGTCCCCAGCACTTGGTAGAGGATCCACTGATGGTCACTGTTATTATTGGCTATTAAATGTGTTTTGATCTTCTTTCACAATACCTAGCATATGACAGAGTGGGTGAGAGTGCATATGAAAGTGAGACTGGATTCCAGTCCTCGCTCTACTACTTCCTGGCTGTGCGACACTGGGCAAGTTACTCAAGTTCCCTGTGCTTCAGTTTGCTTTCTTTAAAACGGAATAGTTCTGGTACCTACATTTTAGGGTGGTTGGGTGTTAAATAAGTTATTATACACACACAGTGAGCACTAGGTGAATGCTCTTATTGTTATTAATGTAGTCATTAACTCAGGAAAAGATACATTACACCTTAAAAAGTAGGTATCTTTGAACATTGCCTCAGCTGCTACAGCTTTTGCTTACTACTTGATGTGTTGTTCAAAGTTTGTAGTTCAGATGTGGTTTATTACAGTGCATATTAAAACATGAATCATCAATTTGGGTGACATCATCACGTAGTATCTGAACAAGTAGAATTTTCTGATTTGGCACCATGATTAAATATAGATTTTTATGGAAAAATGGCCATCCTGAAGTGTGCTTTTCCCTCTCCAGATTACTCTGAGCTGGGAGAGCTTCCCCCACGATCGCCTCTAGAGCCCGTCTGTGAAGATGGGCCCTTCGGCCCTGTGCCAGAGGAAAAGAAAAGGACCCCTCGTGAGCTGCGAGAACTGTGGCGAAAGGCGATTCTGCAGCAGATACTGCTCCTCAGGATGGAGAAGGAGAACCAGAAGCTCCAAGGTTGGTTTGCGGGTTTTATACTGCACAGGCCTGATGATCTTAATTCGTCTGGACTTTGAAGTGAAACCACAGCTGACATAAGCGTGCCGTCTTTAAAAGAAAGCAAGGTCCTCTAACACACACATACGTGTGTGTGTGTGGATATATATATATAAGTATCTGTTTACTTTTCACAGTAAAGTTAACACCACATCCTGGAGATCTGGTGATCTCACCAAGTGTACTAGCTATTCCTGTATGGCCATTTTTAGCATAACGTCTAGAACAACCTGCAGATATAAGCTTCAACCTTCTAAAAGTGGATTTTGTTTTGTTTTTTTCTCTCTCTCCCTACTTTGTCCCCAACAATAGTCTGTGTCTGGATGTTATATATGAACTAATCCCACATAATCATTAAGTTCATTGCTTCAACTCTTACGTGCATTTTTAGTAAGTTTCAAGTAACTTGGAAATGTCACCGTTAGCTGAGCTCTGCCTGTGCTGATTCAAGGTGTTTTATGTAGACAGACCCATTCGACCCTGAGGACAACTCCAGAAGGCAGGGATTAGCCTGAAGAGGAAACTGAAGCTCAGAGAAGCCAAGCAACTTGCCCAGGGGCATGTCAGGATCAGAATAGGACATGAACTTTGGAAGTTTAGGTTTTGTTCATTTCCTGTTTCCATGCTGTCATGTGAAGCAATAAATATTGTTTTCGAAGTAGCTAAGAGCTATTTACATAGCCTGGGCAAAAAACACAGGTCTTAAAGTGTGGAGAGCTGCCTGGCTATAAAATAATGAGGATTTTGATCATGAGTCTAGACATACTGTTAGAGGGAGCCCCGTCCAGGTAGTTCAGTCACGCCATCACTCCAAGGAAATTTTAGAATTAGAGTACAGTGGTCCCCGTTTAGCTATGGTTTTGCTTTCTGGGCTTTCAGTTACCTGTGGTCTGAAAATATTAAATGGAAAATCCCAGAAATAAACAATTCATACGTTTTATTTTTATTTTTTATTTTATTTTTTTAAAATATATCTTTATTGATTTCAGAGAGAGGAAAGGAGAGGGAGAGAGAGAGATAGAAACATCAATGATGAGAGAGTCATTGATCGAGCCTGCAACCCGGGCATGTGCCCTGACCGGGAATCGAACCCCAATAGCCTGGATCCTAGGTTGACGCTCAATGCACAGCCGGCTGGGCCAGTTCGTACGTTTTAAATTGTGTGCTGTTCTGAGTGGTGTGATATAATCTCGAGCTGTCCCACTCCATCCTTCCCAGGACATGAATCATCCCTTTGTCCAAAGTGTCCTCGCTGTCTGCACTGTTCGCTCACTAGTCACTTAGTAGGCATCTTAATTATCAGATCCACTGTCACTGGGTCACAGTGCTCATGTTCAAGTAACCCTTATTTTACTTAATAATGGCCCCAAAGCACAAAAGTGGTGTTACTGGCAATTTGGATATGCCAAAGAGAAGCCATAAAGTGATTCCTTTAAATGAGAAGGTGAGTATGTACAGGAAAAAACAGTGCATATAGGGCTCGGTACTGTCCATGGTTTCAGGCATCCACTGGAGGTCTTGGAACATATCCCCTGTGGATAAGGGGTGTAGACTACTATACATTTCATTGAACGTCCCCTCTGATTGTCAGTCTTCACTTTTAATAGTGATCTTGCTGTTTGTAAAGAGCTGAATGTCATTAAGACGCTGGGTTTGATGAATATGGTTCATAGTACGGATAAGTGTATTTTCTTTGACCACAAACAAGAAGTGAAATACGAAGTAATAAGACCTTTTGATATGAAGGTAGCCCAACAGTCATAAGAGGCTGCTTGTGGATGTAGATTCATTACTGAAGCTGAGCGAGAAGGGCCATCCCCTGAGGGTGCTGTGTGTGCGAAGGTTTCTCCTAGCTCCAGTTTTCTTCCATTTTCTTATGGGTTCCTGCAGATAATTAATTCTAAGGGCAGAGGTCTAAAAGAGCTTTGATAGTGATGGCATCGCTGACTGTCATCAGTTGAGTGACAGCTCTGGAGCACAGCACTCTCATTCCTGTGCGTGTTGGTTGGGATTTTGTTTGAAGCAAAAAGGCAGTCATGTTTATCACGTGGGTCATAAACCTTAGTGCCTACCCTGGAGATCACGCAAATGACAGCCACAGGAAATCAGGGCTCCACTGTGAAACGGGAATGGTGCTGGCCGGCCTCTTGGGAATGTTGGGAAGAATCATGACTGTCATTGATGAGATCAGGAGACCACAAAAGCAGAGCTGCTGTAAAGCAGTGTAAGTGGCGATTTGCCAGAGTAGAATGAGCTGGGACGTTTCGTCAGGTTACCTGGAACACCTTGCTGGGTGTTGTATATGTGCACTACCCCGCCCTGCATCTTTCTGCCGCTTCCTCATTTCACCTGGCAGCCTTCAGTCCTGTGTGGGCTTTTGTTTTTGCTGCTGGGATTAGTTTCTCTTTTTAGCTCTGCAGAGTTCAACACATGTTTACCTTTGTGGTGAAAGCACAACGAACTTGCTAAATATAATTTAGAAAGCATTGTATCAGTGTGTACAGTACCCATATTGCTGAGAAATAATCAATAAGAGCCTGATTGTGAGCTGCCTAGAAGCATTTAGTAAGCTGTGTCAGGGTGGGATAGGGGACAGAATTTTGTCAATAAATACAGAAGCGAAATTTGACAAGAACTAACCAGGGAGTGAGTGAATTATGTGCTAAAGAGACAGTCTTTCTATTGCATTTTATTTTTCAATTGCTTTTAAAAAGGAAAGTTCAATTGCAACTGGGAGTGGCTCTTGAAATTGTTCCCAGGTTCAGGCCAACTGGCATGCTCTTTGGAAAGGGAATTAAAGAAAAATGTATGAGGAGGTTCCACCTACTGCTCAGCCTAGTTCCTGGCTTTTGCATATATGGATCAAATATTTATTACTGTCCTAGAAGCACTGCATCTGAGAAAGAACCAAACTACATCATTGAAACCTACCTCACTCATTGGAGACAGTTGGAAGCTGAATTGTAATTTCCTCAGTTAAACAGCTTATTTTTTCAGTGATGTTGGGACTGAAATGCATCCCCAACAGCCCTCTGCTATGCCCCTCTGCAAGGCCATTTTTCCTCTGTTGTAAATGAAGACTCAAGCAGCCTCCTGCCAGGCAGCAGAGCGTGATTCAGTACAAGCATAGCTCTTGGTCAGCACGTTATTTCTTGTTGGACTGACTCTCGTAGTTCAGCATTTCTTGTTTAAGATTAAAATATCACAGGTAATACATCTGCATAATGACACATCGAATTTGGAATGTTCATTGAATTGTGATTGAAGATATTTTAAAAAGGTTTTTTCCTGGTTAAGCAAATACTACATGTTGATTGTAAAAAAATTAAATAATGGGTGCAGTTTCTGTAAAATCTTTACAAGCTCAGGGGCCATTTAATTACTGAGGCTCCCAGCCCCTTAGCCTCTCCTTTCTAAGCTCCCACCAGGTGGTGGCAGCAGGAAGTGTGTTTTATCTGTGGAGGTGGCTCATGGCGCAGAGCTGGGGCCGGGCAGCCACAGCCCGCCTTACACAGTGGACATAAATCAGATCTGAACATCGGTCCAGAGTCCAAATTAGCGCACGCGTCCATGTCAAGTGATAATAAATGTTTTTGATGATTCTTGCAAAGTTACACCCGATCTCATGCAGTCCTGGTTTCTCCCCCAGCCCCAGAAACTCACACACAAGGGATTGTAGACCCTTATTTATTGTTTCAGTTTGGTCTTATATCTAAAGGGCTTGCCTGGACGCCTTGACGTTTGTTGCAGGCCTGCACCATCTGCCTTGGATGACAGGCATTTTGGAGGCAGCTGATTTTAGGCAGCAGTGTTGTCAGGATGCTGAACAGCAGAATGTTGCCGGGGCCAATAGTGAAGTATGTGGATTAAGCCTTTTCAGCTGAATCTTCTGGCCAGATATTCCTGTCCTGGTAACTTCAGAGCCAGTTTCTTGTGTTGTTTGCTGGGCTCTTCAGTGCACAGACATGCTCACAAGCAAGAGTTCACAGCCAGAGAAATGTGTGTCGGCTCCAAGAGCCTTGTGCCACTTGTGTTCAGCAAGGCTGATCCTGAACCCGATTTGCCACAAGGGTTAGTTCAATGCTAATGACATCTACTGTGCTGCCTCACAGCCAAAAAAAGTCTAGAGTTGACATTTTTTAAAAATTTGAACTCTGCAGATGTAGGGAATTGTTTAGCAGGACCTTTAAAATGTATTCTTCAAAGTAAGAAGGGAAAGAATAGAGATAGTAGATGAGAAATTGCAAAAAATAAGAGAGCACTAGGCCTGGAGTCACTTGGCTGCCCACCAGCTAGTCAGCAACCTTGTCAAGACCCTTAATGGCTCTGAACCTCAGTGACTGTGTCCATGAGTGAGAGGCTGGACCAGGGGTCTCTGCAGGCTTTTTCAGTGCTACCTTTTGATGTATTTGTACTGGAAGGTGGTAATTGGACCAGTTAAGTACAGAACCCATGCATCAGATGCATAAGGTCTCACCACTAGGGTATCTTTAGCCAGATTTAGTGAGTTAGCATCTGCTCAGTTTCTGACTTGGTAAAAGAAAATATTTTATTTTACTCCATCAGCACCTAGTTTGGCTCAGTGGTTAGAGCATTGGCCCAAGGACTGAAGGGTCCCAAGTTTGATTCCAGCCAAGGGCATGTACCTCGGTTGCAGGCTCGATCCTGGGCCCCGGTCAGTGCAAGTGCAGGAGACAACCAGGGATGCTTGTCTGTCATGTCAACGTTTCTCTCTCTCTCTTTCTTTCTCCCTCTCCTTCTCCCTCTCTCTTTTCTTTCCATTCTCTCTGAAAAGCAATGGAAAAAACATCCTCATGTGAGGATTAAAAAATAAAAATAATTGATCTGTGCCTAATCCCAGAAAAAATGTGTAATTAATAGGGGCAAGCTCTATAGCACAGTGAGGCCGAGGGTCCGCTCTGCCTCCTGCTCTGGGACCTTGGTGAAGCTACTCAGCCTCTAGTGCCTCAGAGTGACATTCGGATGAAATGGTACTAAACATAAAACACTTAAGACATGTAGTATTTATTATCATCACAAAGTCGAGTTTACCAGCTCTGTGAAAGTCTGTGTTTTGGCTTATACTTAGCTATATGTCCTATCTGCTCTATTAATAAATGCACAGTCTAGATCTCAGATGTGGTGTGGAGTGGATTTGGGGGCTGATAGCATCACCACTGTATCTAAATAGGATTTAGTGGTTTTACGTGGAAATGAAGTTGTCAGTTTTAATCTTTCTTAGAATTGTCAATTTAAAATCTTCCTGTGTTGATGTTGCCCCCTCACCCCCAGGTTCGATAAATTAGGTAGAATTCTTCTCCTTTTTAAAATATATCTTTATTGATTTCAGAGGGAGGAAAGGAGAAGGAGAGAGAGAGATAGAAACATCAATGATGAGTCACTGATCGGCTGCCTCCTGCACGCCCCCAACTGGGGATCGAGCCCGCAACCCGGGCATGTGCCCTGACTGGGAATTGAACCCCGATCGCCTGGATCCTGGGTCGATGCTCAACTGCTGAGCCACGCCCGGCCAGGCTAGGTAGAATTCTTCTTAATGCAGCTTTAAACCGAGTAGGGTTGGTGGGAAGTAATTGCTACCTTCATATATGTGAGGAGATGTCATCTGAAAAGTGCACATTTATTCTGTTCAGCTCCGGGAAGCAGAAACAGGACTATCAGTAGAAGCTGCTTGAAAGGGGCTTGGCTCTAAATGAGAAAGGACCACCCTTGAAGAGCCTCCCTTAGCTTAGATAACATTTCCTGTTAGGCAGCCACGCTGGGAAACAGAAGACACGTCTCCGCAGTGTTCAGTAATGTGCTCTCACATGGTCTGTTCCAGCTTCTGAAAACGACCTGCTGAACAAGCGCCTGAAGCTTGATTATGAAGAGATCACGCCTTGCCTTAAAGAAGTAACGATGGTGTGGGAAAAGATGCTGAGCATGCCAGGAAGATCCAAAATTAAGTTTGACATGGAAAAAATTCATTCCGCTGTTGGGCAAGGTAAGCCTTACTGGGAATCAGTCCAGCAAACCTCACCCCTCACTGATGGTTGGGGAGAAGTCTGGGGAAAAAAAAAAAAAAGTTTAGGTACAATGTTAGTGGGCATCTCTCCCCTATTTATCACTTAATTAATCTGTTTCTAAATATCTTAGTTAATTGATGTGACTTTCATCACCTTTCATGATTCCTCTTAAGTAAACCAGTTACAATGCCCAGGAAACAGGAAGCAGACAGAGGACAACCCAAGGACTTAGTTGCCTATAAACTAGGCAAAGATACGATGATATGCTCTGAGTTAAATAGTAAGCTGAGAACTAATTGTGTGGCTTCTCTCTGAGTACTCTTGGCAGACAACATAGAGTGTTGGGCACAGACATCAGACAAGTTGTTGCAAATTCAGATCCCAGCCCTACCAATCTGCAGTGTGATCTTAGGCAAATGACTTAACCTCTCTGAGCCCTATTTCCCATATGTGTAGCATGTGATGATGACAGTGGTTGTTGCGAGGAGTAAATGAGCTGGTACCCAGGAGCACATTGCATGTGTCTGCTCCACTGAGAGGTCCCTGGAGAGTGGGCAGTTCTGCTACTTTTTTTTTCTTAGTGGTCTGCTGACTCTATACCAATCCAAACTGTTTACTGGCCCAGGATGAACTCAGAACTTGAGACTAAGCATTTAGAAACTTTCCCAGCAATTTGACAGATCCCATTTTTTAAAAAAGTGGACGTTTTATTTTGTCAGTCTTTTTTCCCCTCATTTTATTTTTCTACTAATTCATTTTTTACTGCATTTTACAAAAGTATCAGTTTGCTGATTGGAAAATTCTAAAAGAAAACACTGGTCCTTCATCACAGATAATTGGAGAAGTGCCATGTTAGAGCTTAACTGTGATGCTTATTGGTGTTCAAGTGAAACAACCATTTCTTTTAAAATGTATATGAGTGTGTGCTGGCAAGGGTGGGAGCTTTTCGAGTCTAATCTAATTCCAGTGCTCCTGAGTTCTGGCCAATCTAGTCATGAATAACCAAGTGTTTAGAAAAAGAGTTGCAAAAATATATAAATCTTAGGGTTTTCTCCTGACTTTGTTAGCTGTTCATTGGAAGAAGTTATACATGCGTCCTTCATCTCTGAGAGAGAAAATGGAGCAAAGTGGTTTTGTTCTGTAGTATATTAGGCATTATCCAACCTTTATCTGGGTTTTGGCAGCATCAGTTTTAGTAATACATAGTTACTGCTGGTTATGACTTTCCCCCCTTCCATGAATAAGGAAACTTGGACTCAGAGCAGTTGCGTAAGGGCTGCAGTGCTGGTCTCACACCCTAGTTCTAGGCACCGTATGACGCTGCCTGTGGTTGGATTGTGCCTCAGCAGTGCTGCTCTCTGAGACCAGAAATATGGCACGTGGTGAGGACACAGGTTGCAAATGGGCCCCTTGTGATCTCTGGCAGGTGTCCTCACCTTTCTGAGCTCTGGCCTCCTGGCTGCTAGAGAGGCATGGACCAAGAAGAGGTCTTCAGAGCTCTCTTCCAGTTCTCACATGCTTTGCACCCATAGTGGTTGCTGGAGGTTTATCATTGCACCACATGGCCCTAGATCACTCTTTTGAAAAAAAGAGGAAGCAGAGAAAAGAATGAGTTCGTTCCTTCCCCTTTTCACTGGTGACTACATCATGGTCTTCAGTTGTCTTTGTTTATATAAAAGGTAAATCTCCTGGGCCTGTGACAGCTGTTCCAGATGTTTGACTTTCTTAGAAGCCTGCACCTGGATATATTGGTTTCCATCTTGCATTTTTACAAGGGGGGCTAAATACTCTAGGCACCTGGAACCTGTCTGTTAAGGATAGATGGGTGAACAGTGTGTATACTGAGGTGAGCTGAGGCTAACCTGGAATTTCCTCGTGTATTTCCGACATTGCCACATCACTTTCCGTGGCAGGAACTCTGAATTTCTAACTGTAAAAGGGGCTTTGTCAATTATTCAGCTGGTTTCAACGCATAGGATTTAACAACTCCAAACAAATGGCCTCAGTCCATCTTGTAGCTCAGAATAAAAAATGAGATTAAATCAGAATCACACCTTTGGCCTTCTAGGTCGAGGCCAACTCACTTCCAGCCCTTGAAAAGAAAAGGCAATCTCTGTATGTGTAAGAGGCCCCTCAGTGATGGAAATGAAGGGATTTATGAACTTTCCAAGTTAAAACTGAGAGTAGCAGCATTAGAATGTCAGTTTGGGAGAAGGAGGAATAGTTCTGTGGAATTTTAAACATTTCAAAGTTTAGCTTGGGTTTAAGTGGTTTATTTTATTTAATGATTTATTTAAATGATCTCATTTATTTAATGATTAAGAGGTGTCAAGTAGAACTTTATAAACAGGAGTGTGCTTTTCTAGGAATGGGGTTGCAAAGAGTCTACCTGAGCAGTAGGCACTATGGGCCAGGTGCAGACTCTGCTTACCTTTGACCCAGCAATGCCCTATATAGAAACCTAGATACTAATCAATCAACAGTGTTCTGCAGTAGGAAAGAATGCTTATTTGGCATTGCTTAATAGCCAAAAAAGAAAACAGAACCCAAATCCCCAGCCATGTGACCACACCCATGCCATACTCCCTGAAAATGACACAGTAGATTTGTACTGATGCAAAAAATGAGTCGCTGAATGAAAGAAAAAAGTACAGCGTGGCCTCACATGCTGTTGTGTGTGTATCTGTAGAAAAACATCATGATGTGTTCGCAGATATCTGAGTAATAAGCAGGATGACCACGCGTCTGGCTTGCCTGGCATAGCCCTGTTTTACAGCTTGTTCCAGTAAGATAGTCAATCCCCTTCCTCCCCTTTGCTTTCATAAGCATCCTGCTTTGGATGGTGATTTATATATTCACTCTAGTTATGGGTAGTTTTTCATTTTCTTCTTTATGCTTTTTGCCCTTTCAGGAGTTTTGTATTTGAATAGTGAGCATATATTACTTTTAACGTCATACAGATGAAAAAGTATTTGCATTTGGGTGGAGGGTGGCCGCCTGCCCACCCAGAGCTCTGCCTACAGGTCCTGGGTAGACTCCTGCAGGTTTCTCTCTTGGGTTAGGAGTGGAGGCAAAACAGAGCATGGAAAGATTATTCCAGGTCATTAGCAAAAGCATTGGCTCCAGTTTGCATGAGCCTTTGTTTTTAAATCACGTGTCTAAGCTTTCTCTTAAATACCAGAATATGTGGTACTGCCCAGTGACACAGAGCCAGTGGGTTTTTTCCCTCCAAAAAAAAAGTCCGATAAGTTTAATGGGATTGATTTAGTAATAAGAGGAAATTGTTCATCTCATAACTTGGGAAAATTTTCCAGTTTGAAAAAAACTATTTTGTGAAAAGCCCCACTATAAATCACTTAGCATGCTGTTTCTCAGGCCACATTTATTTCTAATGCGGTTTGCAGTAGTAAAAGCTAGTATGTGTGTGCATATATATACATATAACATGTATATTCTGTATATATATGACATACACACACACACATACTAGCCTTTACTACTTCGAACCATATATATACACACACACACACACACACAGCCCTAAGATATATTTCTGAGCAGGAACACTAGAGAGGGAGAGAAGCAATAGAATAATATAGAAAAGCAGATATCCAGGTGTATTAGTCTCCCGTTGCTGCCATAACAAATTATCACAACATCAGTGGCTAAAACAACACAGGTTATTCTCTCACATTCTGGAGGCTGGAATTCTGAAGTGAGGGTGGCAGCAGGGCTGCACCTCCCCTCTCCCAGCTTTGGGTGGCTGCCAGCATTCCTTGACTCGTAGCTGCATCACTCCGGCCTCTGCCTCTGTGGTCACATAGCCGCCTCCTCTGTGTGTCTCTTACAGACACCTGTCATTAGATAGAGGGCCCACCTGGATAATCCAGGGTGACGATCTCATTTTGGGATCCTAATTATATCTATGAAGACCTTTTTCCAAATAAGTTAACATTCACATGTTCTGGGGATTCGGATGCAGACATACCTTTTTGGAGGCCACCTTTCAACCCACTCCTTAGGCCATCAGATTAACACTGGCTGAGATAAACATTCAGAAAGGTGTAGGATACGGTCACAGTTAAGCGTGGCTCTATATTTCTCCCACAGGCTTTTTTTTTACAACTGGTTTGTGTAAGGGAAAACCAAATTACTTACTATAACTTAAGCATTTCCAAGAGATAGCTGTAATTATTTCAAAATATTTCCTTATGGAGCAAGTAATAGATTGACTGCTATCTGGTTCAAACGACAAATTATTATTTTATTATTAATTGCCAGGTAAGAACATAAAATATTTTTTCTCCAGTACCCTGTGAGCAGCCCTGTGTGTAACTGTTGTGACAGGGAGGACATCTGTAGAAAATGTCAGTCCCTCTCCCTGGGCTGCCACTGAGCAGCTGGGTGATCTCGGACAAGGGACCTAGTCTCGGTAGCCTGTTTCCTCATCTTTACCGTGAGGGTGGTATTTCCCTTAGGTTGTGAGGATGATGCCAAGTGCTCAGAATGGGGACAGCACCATGACCTTGTAGGAACAGTAGCTGCGGCCGCTGCCCTCTTGCCAGAATACAGACTTATCTCGGAGGTGGCCAGTGGGGAACCTAGAAAAACCTTCTTCCCGGGGAGGCTCCCTGAGGGGCAGGGAAGTGCAGGGAGCGGTCACCTTTTTTCTGGATGGGGGAAGCCCAATTCCTTATTCACAGGTTCCTTTTCCTTATTTGGAGGTTCTCTTAAGAGAACTCCCATCAGAGATGAGAAAGATTTGGCATCTTATTAGGTAGTCTTTCTCTCCCCATTTCCCACTGGTGATGAACCAAATAATTTTGAATCTTGAAAACCAGAGAATTTTGAATCGTGAAAACCGTCACTTTTTCTAATGAGGTTTGCCCTAAATAACATCATTAACTTTAAGAGAACTTTTCTTATGTGTGGACATTTTTTTTTTATCACTTTGAGTTTTCAAATTAATCATATTTGAATCACTGGGCCAAGTCTCTTGGGTGATTTCTCTTGTTTTCAGGTCTCCGCCGACTGCTCACCCCGGCAGGTTTGCGCAGACTGTGCGCCATCTGGCCTTACGCCCCTTCCCCAGCCCACCCTGCAGAAAGGTGTCTCATCAATAGCCTGGAATCTCAGCTGTGATTAGGCCCTTCCTTCCCCAGCTCAGAAACACCCCATGGTTCCCTAGAGCTACCAAATGAAGGGCAGGTTTCTTGCTCAGTTTTGCTTCTAATAAAATCTGTCCAGCATGACGGGCCCCTGCTCCAGCCCCATGTGTGCCCTGGGCCAAGGTGACAGAACACTCACAGTTCCCTTCCTCTGAGTTTTCTCTCCTCCTTCCCCCCACTCGTAAGTCCTTGCACAAATGAAAGGTTCTGTGGAATCTTGATTTCCTTCATCTCAGCGCACCTCACTTTGATCACACCCCTTTTATGAAATGACCTTCTTCTGTGTGGTAGAGTTACACGCTTCCTCTTCTTTCCCTAGGACACTATCATTTGGCACCAGATAGGGGCTCAGACCATTCACAGTTTATTCCTGGCAGATTCTGGCATAGTCCCAACAGAGAGTATATATTTGAAAGGTGAAAGGAAAGTGGGAGGGTGTTGGGGATGTGAGGGGAGAAATGGGGGGTGTGGAGGAAGGAAGGAAAGGAACAGATAGAACAAAATTTTGGTTGCTTCCTGTGCTGCTAATTCATAATAGAACAAGAATTCAGATCAATGGAATAAAACACAACTCATTTTTATTATTAAGCTGTATTCTGTGCATAAAGTCTTTCTCTGCATTTTCTACCCCTTCCTGGCCCTGTCCCCGAAGGTGTGCCACGTCATCACCGAGGTGAGATCTGGAAATTCCTCGCAGAGCAATCCCACCTTAAACACCAGCTTCCCGGGAAACAGCAACCCAAGGACACGCTGTACAAAGAGCTCTTGAAACAGCTCACCTCGCAGCAGCATGCCATCCTTATCGACCTTGGTAAGTCTGCAGATCGATGCGATGTGGAAATGGAAGTTTCACTCACTTGAAAAATCGGGGGAGACTGTCCAAGTTATTTAGTGATCTGCCTTTAGGTTTAGCAATCGAAATTTGCTACTGAGCCTTTCAATTAAAAAAGCCCTGGAGTAATAACAAATGCCTTCATCAAGTACACATAAAAATCTCTCTCCCTTCACCAGGCAGCTGTTAACTCTGCTCTGTGTGAGGGTGGCAGTCATGAGGGCTCCAGCTGTGACCATGGTTCAGGTCAGTAATTCAAACATTGACAGGAGGTTTTATAGTCAACCGAAGGAGCATCCTGGAAGACATAAGTGTCAGAACCAAGGGCTGGTTTAATTACAGGAGCCACTCCCTAGCCTTTACTGCTTTCCAACAGGGTTTATTAGAAAAATTGTAGAGAGCAGATTGTGTGTGCCTGGGGCAGTTTTATTTTGGAAAAGGGGGTACCTTGTCTCTTGACTAGTTTTGAAAATGCTAAGATGGGAACAGTGCATTGGACATGTGGCGTTGCCACGGTGAAGAGCATGTGTCATGAGGATGTAATTTAATGTATGGAAGAGCCTCCTGATTTGTCCCCAGCCGCTCACCGGGTGGAGGCGGAGCGGGGACCCGTGCACCCTCTCTGCCTGCCGCCTCTAACTGTGGCTTCCATCTCCACCGGCCGCAGGGCTCCGGGAACCCTGAGGGCCCCATGTGGAGGCTGCTGGAACCTGGCCCTGCTGCTTTCAGAGCATGTGGCCCTACTTCCAGAATATTCTTCCTGGCTGTTGCTGCTGCCGCCTGGGACTTGCCTGAGCCTCTGTGCTTCAGGCCTGGCAGTGGCCTGGCTCTTTAGGTCCCTGCAGCAGCCAGGAGGGAGGGAGGACATTCCCAGGAATTTGAAGGGGAGCTGGATCAGGCAGTATTGGGTCTTTTCTGTCCAGCCACACAGCAAAGTTTAAGGGTCAGTTTCATAAATGTTGCCATTGGTCTAAGCTTGAGTGTCATCTCCAAGAAGCTGGCCCTGGCTGTAGCCTCTCCTCCCACTTTCTGGCTGGATTAGGTGCCTCCGTTAGGTCATCTGTCCCACCCCGTGTCTTCCCCACACCCCATGACACTCACCACATTTACAGTTACCATTATTATTTAAAGCTAATACTTAACTTTACCTCACACCAAATGTTGTGTGACCTTTACTTAAATTACTTTCTGTGATCTTCACAACACAACCAGGTAGATACTATTCGATCCCCGTTTAGAGCTGAGGAAACTGGAGCGCAGAGAGGTGGAGTACCTTGCTCCCGGGACCCCGCTTTCCCCGCCACGGTCCTTGGGGGTGCTGCGGCAGCGGCGACAGCGTTTGTATTGCCTGTCTTCCCGTGGGATGCTTCCCCCGTGGGCTGGATGGGCTGCTTCACCATTGCTCCCTCAGCTCCTAGGACAGAGCCTGTCACGTTGTATATGCTCAGTAAGTCTCCTGAAATGTTGATGAGGCACTGCACTAGCACCTCAATCTCATGTGATCCTCGCAACAGCCCTGAGATAAGAAACGAGGAAACTGAGGCACAGAGAGATCAAGTGGTGACCACGGTCACGCAGTTCAGCTGGCAGCCTAACCCCACTGTGGCTCTGTGCTGCGCCCTGGCCCTCTGAGCTAAGTAGCCTGTGTGTTCCCATGGAAACGGCTGGCTGGGTGAAGGAGGATGCTGACAGGCTGTGATCACACCTTGGGGACAGTGGGGCTGGTGCCCGTTTGGCCCACTGACCCCGAGCACAGCAGTTCTGCGAATTGCCAATAGCTCTGTTTGCTCATGTGATGAGTAACAAAAAAAATGACATCATGTTCCTATCATGTGAAATGAAGTGAAAAATCAGTTCAGAGTAAGAGGTTGAAAGGGAGGGAGTACAGACAGCTTCTTTACTCCCCCCCCCCTTCCCGGGATGTGGGGAGGACGAGGGAAGGTGTCTCCCCTCGTTTCAGACTTCCTCTTGTCTTGGCCTTCCGCTCCTTCTTCCATGGCCAGGACAGGCCTCTGCCTCTTGTTGCTCAGATGTAATCACTTCTCTGCAGACGGGAAGGAAGATGCCAGCTCAGCACGGGGCCTGGGGGGGTCCTCTCCTTGGGGAGCTATTTGCCCTGGCCACACCCAGGTGGCCTCCTGCAGCCTTTCCTCCAGTCCGCACGTGGTCTGTGGGAGCCAAGGTTGGGCCTTTTCTCATTCAGGGGCAGGGCTGGGTTGCGCTCACGTCCTCTCGGTCCTGCCCAGCTCCCACCCCGCAGGCCAGCTGCAGCCACCTCCCTGGGAGCCCTGGCTCCTCTCTCTGCTTTTCTCCCAGTCCTCCAGATACCCTCCCAGGGCCGAAAAGAAGCTCTGTCTCCAACAGTACAGGTCTCGGATAACCTCTGTGCATCTCTCCAGGCTTTATCCAGGGACCTACCAGGGCCAGCCTTCTCTCCACACTTGAACTGGCAAAGCCTGTATGTTGGCCCAGACCTGGTAGTTCCAGAGAACCCTGCCTGCCAGGCTTTCCTGGGTCAGTTCAGGGAGGCCTCACTTAGAAGTTCCCCCAAGCTGCCTGTTGCTTCCCCCTCACCTCTCACCAAGAGGTGGCATTTGCCAGGTCAGTCATTTAGTCTACAGTGTCTATTTAGTCTTCATTATGGCTAACTCAGGGCCCAATAAAGATGAATAGTACGGAGTGAAACAAATTTCAGTGTTTCTTCAAAAGTGACATCCAACCTGGCCAGGCGTGGCTCAGCGATTGAGCACTGACCCAGGATCCAGGAGATCAAGGTTTGATTCCTGGTCAGGGCACATGCCGGGGTTGCCGGCTCAATCCCCAGATGGGGGCATGCAGGAGGCAGCTGACCAGTGAGGATTCTCTTATCATTGATGTTTCTAGCTTCCTCTCCCTCTCCCTTCCTCTCTCTGAAATAATAAAGATATATATTTTTTAAAAAAGTGACATTCATGTTCTGGCCAGAACAGAATGCTTGTTGATTGGACATACTTTGCGTTTTCATGGATTTTGTTTTCCTGCCTCTGGCTTTACTTTCTGAAATTAGATGTTAGTCTCATCAGGTTTTTTGCAAGGTTTTTTTCTTACGAAGAGTAAGAATGATAGACTGGGCAGTGTTTTATTGTTTGGGAAACATCTAGCTTTGTTGGGTCTCAACTTTATACAACCCTGTGTGAACTTGGGCACATGTTATTCCACTTCAGAGGTGATGAAGGAGGCCCAGCGAGGTTGTTACAAGCTACCAAGTGGCAGAAAGTTCTAAAACCTAGGTCTTCTTAGCCTCCTTATCACATCCCTTCTAGGACACCATATTGCTTCCGTCTTTCTTGCCCTGCCCACTGCATACCAACACAGCTTTTCCTCCTATAGTTAAGTGTCATAACACTCCCTCAGAGCTGACCACACCCAAGCAGGAGGAAACAGCTTCTCCCAAGGCTCAGCAGGTGAATCTTGAGGCCTGAGTTCAGGAACCTGCCCCATCCGTTAAGCCCTGTTTCCGCTACATCTATTCAGCCCTCTCTTCTCTGGCTGGGCCACATGGACTGACAAGCATCTTGCCTTCTAGCTGCTACCAAATTTGCAGGGTCTGCAAATTTGAGAATTTAAATTGAGAATTTAAATTGAGAACTTCAAGGTGGCAACAATAGAGCACTAAACCCAGCACGAGGCCCTTCTGAGCAGAGCCCGTGTGACTGCACAGGCCCCATGCCCATGAAGGCCCTGCCCCACATCTGACAACTGTTGAGTCACTTTCCAGCCTGCCAGGCTCATCCTCTTAGGAACCTTATTAAGTGAGGAATGTCCACTCCACAAGCAGGGCCAGTTTGTGTGAGCTCTTGTTTCTGTGTGGTGTGGTGTCAATATGAGAGGGTATCTGGTGAACAGAAATGGTAATATTGAAGGATTCAGTTCACAACTAGTTAAACCTTCCCTGGTGTTCCTCCATGCCACAGAGCCCTGTGTGTTCTGCCACCTGCGCCTATTTGAGACCAAGAGAGATTGGGGGAGGTGCATGCAGGGCAGGGGCACGCAGAGGTGGGATTGCTCCGCCTGCTTGGAGGCTGATGAGGTGATGGAGTGAAGAGCTTCCTGTTTCCTAGTCCCTCTGAGAACCTGCAGAGAGCGGTATGCTTGTGCTGTCAGTGTGGCAGCTGCCTGAGGCTGTTGAGCACTTGGATATGGCTGGTCTACACTACATGTGCTGTCAGTAAAGAATACACTGCATTTCAAAGGCTTAGTATGAAAAAAAGAATGCAAAATGTCTCAATAATTTGTATATTGATATGTGTTGAAAATGACAATATTTTGTGTATCTTGGGTTAAACAGGATGTCTTACTAAAATTAATTTCACCTGTTCCTTTTTCATGTGGCCGCTAAAAAATGTTAAATGATGTATGTGGCTCGCCTTACAGGTCAGTTGTGCATGCTGCTGTAGACTAGGAAGATGGGCAGGCCTAACTGGACTCTCTAATACTTGGCACACGCACACGCACAGGCCTGCCGGCAGCCTGGAGGCATCCAGAGGCCCAGGTCACAGTTCCTAGGTTAAGCCTGGAGTAGAGGATGAGGCTGGGAGGGGAGGTAAGGAGGCGAGTGTGCAGAGCTCCACTGGGGAGCCATTGGTTGCTATTCCCAGTGGGATGATGCGTGCGAGGTGTGTTTTGGGCACATTCGTTGGGAGAAGAGGTAGAGCGGGCAAGAAATGAATACAGGACAAGAAATCAGGAAGGTAGTTAGGGGGCTGGTGATATCCTCTTAAGTTCAGATAAACCACTCGGGGCTGGCAAACGCTTTCGCAGGAGGCTGAGGCAGAACACGTGAGTGTGTCGTCTTCCTTTCGCCGGTCGAATAATTAGGCCTGACAGTTAACTTGCGGCCCAGACGCACCTTCTGCCTCTGCCAACCAATCACCTGGGTCCACGCCGGGCCCTGGCCAAGCATTTTTTCTCTGCTCCCTGGAAACACACTTCCCCATCGGTCACATTCCAGAAGGAGGGGGTGAGGTGGGACTTGACAGGTATCAGCCACAAAAGCCACCTGGACAAAAGAAGTCTTTAAACCTTTTCTGAATACCAGCTTTTTGTGTAAATAATCAGGGTGTCGAGAACTTATTTTTTGAACCTCTTTCCGGAAGGAAGGTAACTGTTTTGTATAAAAGAAAACACCTCCTGCTCCTCAGTCCGTTGGTTTAAAAGTACAGAAATACCACGTGTGGCCCGAAGCATTTGTAGGCACAAAACAGGCTGCCTGGGAAAAGCCCATGAGGGTGGTCTGTAGCCAGCCGGGCCTTTTGCTGTCTCTAGATGATCCTGGGACAGGTGCTCCTGAAGGACCACAGCTTCGGCTCCTCTGTTTAGAGGACCCACCGTTTTCTTTTTGCTTTAGATAGAAATCTAGGTATCTGTAGAACCTAAGGTCGTTCTCATTTCTCTCACCATACAACAGCATGAATTCTTGCTGAGGTGTTAGTTGCAAACATTATTCTGAGAACAACCAGATGACCTTGTTTACAGAGCTGACTTAGGATATCCGGCTTCTAAAGGTCTGTTGCTGTAACCTGATGCCCATGGATTCCTGATTCACAGGCTTGCTTTCTTAAAATTATGACTGATGTGTCTCGTTTTCGCAGGGCGAACCTTTCCAACGCACCCGTACTTCTCGGCCCAGCTGGGCGCGGGGCAGCTGTCCCTTTACAACATCTTGAAGGCCTACTCGCTCCTGGACCAGGAAGTGGGCTACTGCCAGGGCCTCAGCTTTGTGGCCGGCGTTCTGCTGCTCCACATGGGAGAGGAGGAGGCGTTTCACATGCTCAAGTTCCTGATGTTTGACAGGGGGCTGCGGAAACAGTATCGGCCCGACATGATTATTTTACAGGTAGATCCTTCCTTAAGTCTTTGATGGGGACAAAAGCCAAAATGTTCATGATTCCTTTTTAGGTGTAGCTAAGGAGGTTTTTCATTCTTTTTTTTTCCCTTAATTTTATTTTTTAATTACAGTTTATATTCAGTATTATTTTGTATTAGTTTCAGGTGTACATCATTGTGGGTAGATGATTATATACTTTACAAAGTAGCCTTCCCCCCTCATATTTCCAGTGCCCACCTGGCACTATACACAGTTACTACAGTGTTACTAACTGCATCCCCATGCTGCACTAAGGAGCTTTTCCACCGTCAGTTAACACTAATAGCGATCTTTGCTGAGAACTTACTCTCTGCTAGGCATTACACCACCTGTTTCATAGGCACTGATCTCCTCACTGACCCTCAGGAACACACTGTCAACTGGCTCAATTTATAGGTGGGAAAACTAAGGCTCAGAGGGGTTACAGAATTTTACCAAGTCACACAGCTAGCCTCTCTGAGCCTAGGACCCTCCCTTTTATTTTTCATCAAAGCATCTTCAGATGGTCTAATTCCTACCTCCCATGTTTGCTGCTTCCTGTGCCAGGGACCCTAGTGACCCCTACCCCTTGTCATCCAGGGGGTAGCTCAAATATCACACATGCCAGAAGAAGCTCCTCCTGACCACTGTGTGCCCCCACCTCCACCCTAGGCACACTGTATCACGATATCCTGTCCCATTTCTTTTGCCTCACACTCTTACTGCCTGAAATTACCTATTCACTTACCTGTTCATTTTCTGATTTTCCTTAGAATATATCCTGAAAGGGGAGGGGGGATCATGCCCATCTTGGAGCTGCATCTGTAGTTCCTAGAACAGTGCCTGGGATGACATAGACACCCAGTCAGTATTTGTTGCATGAACGAGTGACAGGAGGAAAGGTCATATTAAAAGAAAGGCAAACAACAGTGTGTTTTAAGTACCAAGCGCTGACTCTGTACCTTTAGAAGTGGGAAAGCTCTGGATCCTCCTTGGGGAATATTTCTGAATGCTGGAGCACGTGTTTATGTGTTTATTTACCAGCCATACCATGATTTCAGAGCCTCAGAAGGTATCCTTGGAAAGGATACAGTAGCGCTAAGGACTCTTTGAGAACACGGAATTGTGGTTAAACATCCAGTTCGCCCCCACCCGTGAATGTGACCCACCTGGAAGTAGATCTCATAAAAGGAGGCCATTCCACTCACTAAAAGATTTTGACCCACATAACACTTTCCACACATTTGTCAGGCTCCTCCTACCTTCTTCCTATTCGCTTTAATATAGACTTTAGATGTACCTGCCATGTAAGAGATTGGAATTTTCAAGTTTTACATAATTTAATGTTGAACACAAAACTCTTTTTGAGGGGCTTGTGGCCTTGGTGATTAGATTCTTTTAAATACAAAGTAAAACAGCCACAGCTGGTACTTAAGAGGACTGTTGTATGGCCCCTGTAGACAGTATTTTCTGGTTTGGACAGCACTATCCAACTTGTAGCATCTCAGCAGGGAGCTGACCCCCCTAGGTTATCGTTTCTCTGGGCTCGAGCCATGGGATTGCTGGACTCAGGGCTTCCTGCCAGGACCCTGTCACACTCCGAAAAGGGAACTCTTTACGTTGAAGTTAACTTTAGTTGGAAAAGTTTTCTCCGTCTTGAGATAAACACTTCTTATTTTAGCTTGCCCAGGATCTACTTCATGTTATAAACCTACAGAAATCCCACTTGTCCTGCCTCTTGAATAATGTGGGGGGCCCAGAGGGAATGTACTAACCGAACAGATACCACAAAGTCCTTTCACAGAATCATCACATGCTCTCACTTCACTCTTAGCGTTTTATTTCTCATCCCCCTGGCTTTGGGTTTTGCTAGGAATGTGTATTTGCAAGAGAATTTATGAAGTGTTTCCACAAGACGGAAGTTTAGATTCTCTCAGCCAAGAACACAAGGGGTCGGTGGAAAGAAAGGAAGTGGTCGGAGACCCAGCATCAGTGCTCTGGGCCTGCACCCTGCCGGGGCCTTGCACACAATAGGGACCCAGGGAGCTCTTGTTGGATAAATGAGAAGCTGAGATCAAAAGACATCCTGAGCCAAACAGAGTGTTTCAGGTTCTAAGAATTCTTCTCTTTGTCCTGTGAGTAAGGTGAGTCCCTGCGCACATGCAGCGGACAGTGAGAGCTGACCCGTTTGTGTCCCTGCAGATCCAGATGTACCAGCTCTCGCGGCTCCTGCACGATTACCACCGAGACCTGTACAACCACCTGGAGGAGCATGAGATTGGCCCCAGCCTCTACGCCGCCCCCTGGTTTCTCACCGTGTTCGCCTCCCAGTTCCCCCTGGGATTTGTGGCCAGAGTCTTCGGTAAGTGGGTGGAAATGTTCGCCTAAACCCCCATTCTCCTGCCTGGTGAGAACCATTAGCTGTCACTCCCTGGTGACTCTTCTTATTTTTCTACCTGTGTCTTCTGTAAGAACAGGGTGTTGTTTGACACTCAGTTTAGTCAGGGTTGGGTTTTGTGAATTGCAGAACCTTAACCCTGGTCATCACTGGGCTTCCCTACGTGCCTTCATCTGGTGGGACTGGACCTGATTCCCTCACCATCAGGCTCTCTCTGGAGCTGACATCTTAAAGGCTCGGCCAAGGAGCCCGGGCACCTTGTACCGGGAGGCACCTCTCACGAATCGTCTTCCTCGGCCTCCCTGGCCTGCGGTGCTGTTCACCGATCGCTCCTTAGAGCTGTTGCACCAGTGCCTCCTGGGCTCCTGTTCTTTCTAGATTCTCTTTGCATCTCCTCCTGTTTTCTCCTATTCCCTACCCTCGGCTCTTCGTTTTCTCTGCCATCAAGCTCTCGGTGACACCTCTGTGCTGACTCACTTTCCCATCCTCACATGTCCCCGCACTTACCTTTCAAACATCACCTCCACTTCCGCACCCCACTGTGTAACCATAGGCTCACACTTCAGACCATCTCCCTTTTTCTTGATTTCTTTTTCAAGAACATTGTCCCTGTCTAAGTAGAATAGGTATTCACGTGCAAAGTCTCAAAACCCCTTGTCTATTATACATCAATTTAAAAAATTAAAAATTAGATTTTAAAGCTGCCTTCATGGGGCAGATAGGCACGTTCTCTTAGATACCAGGAGCCAAGTGAGACACTGCGAGCACTGGCAGTTCTTGTACAGTGTGATTTCCCTGCTGTAGAATGAAACAATAATTTTGACAATTCAGGTTCTTTTTTATTTTATTTACTGTGGAGGTTATTAAAAAATTGATGTTCCTCACAACATCAGGTGGTTTTAAGGTGTCATTTGTGTTCAGTCACTTGATGGCTTAAAGACTGATAATCTTATCATCCTTTCTTACATTTGTTTTAGAATTAGGGAGCATCTGATGTTCCCAAACATTGAGAGAGTACTACATTAGGCAGCTTTGTATACCAATTTCTGGGGATCCTAAAATTTGCTTTTTAATCTAAGTGGGCATTGAGTGGTCTTCTGCCCCTCCCCCCCCCAAGTACTAGATTTTCATTTTTATTCACTTCAATCCAGAAGAACTTTTAAAAAAGTCTCCGTTTGGCTTTACTAGAAGAATCTGTGTTCTTAAAATCTTCACTAACCCCCTTTTGTATAACTACTTCCCCGAGTGGATTTTTATTTTCTGTCCCTGAAAAGAAAAAGCGTTGAGGAAAATAGATACTCAAAAATATCTTCCTGGTTAAACAAAAATGTTAGTGATATTTCATGAAGGATTTATACCATAGTTAAAAAAAAAAAAAGATACCTAAAAGCCCCAAAATTGCCTGCATAGTTTACTAACAAAAGAGTCACAGAAACTATAAGATCTCCAGCTGGAGGCTTCTGTCTTGCCCAAAATTTCAGTGCATTTTACTTTTCTTACTCTGGAAATTCAAAGAAAATCCTTAGTCCGTCCCTCTTACTCACCTTTCCCCCACTCCTGATTCTTTACTGTCTTTTCAAACTGGGTGGGGAGTGGAGATTGACAGGGCAGGGAGGGAGCGTTGCCAGTGATTAGAAATAGCTCAAGCGTCAAATTACAGGGTGTGCAGGGGCCTGGACAGGAGGGCCAGCACTGAGTTGTCACTGTTCCTGGCCACAAGCACCAAAGCTGCTGTCTGCAGATAGTTCTGGGCTCCAGGGCAATAAATCTCTAGGAAAAAAATGTTTTCTTAGGCTGCATCAGTGGGCAAGATGCATTGACAACAAGCAGACAAACTCTGCTTTGGAAATGAGTATCCAGAACTGTGAAGCTCATCCTCATGACTTCATAAATAAAAGCTGAAACCAGTAAAAGCACATATTTCTCCCTATTCTGTAGTCATGATGGGCCTTGGAATTTCTTATACATTATACATCAAGATGCTAGTATCTCTAATTCCTGGATCTCACAGACCCTGGCTACACTAAGTGAGTTCATGTCCTGCTGGCTAAGGGCTCAGGGCTCCTGGAGTCGTGGGCAGAAAGTAGGAACTCAAGGCAGCCCTGTGTCGTGATTCATTTTGCAAAAAAACTGCTGGGATTTTTTGCACAATTCATCCCATCTATCAGTTCTTAAAAACAAAATGTTTTATTAGAAAAGGTAGATTTTTAAAAACCATTTCTGTACTTAGCATCAGTGACTTGAACTGGGTTTGTTTTGCTTTATGATGGTGGGTTGCTCAGTTTTAAATCCCAAAGTCTGCCATTCATACACTGGAGTCTTTTTTGGTCTGAAGCCCATTTTGTTATGTCTTTAGGTCTGGGTAAACCCTGAAAACAAATGGACCTTTGTTAACTATTCACTATTTTATATGTAAAGGATTCTCGGCTTGCAGCCAGCATGGCTTGTACATTAATTAATGGGTCACCTGGAGTTAAGTCTATGCTGCTTGGAGGGGTAGCTGCCAGTAATGTATGTGCCTTGACCTTCATCATTAAGGCACCTGGTAATCATGCTTTTCTGGAAGTCAGTCCTTCCGCCTGGGTGTCACATCATGTAAAATAGCCCCCTCCTGTATTTTTCCAGTTTGGATGTAGAGGGGTCCCTGGGAGAGGTCCTGGCTCTGTTCACCTTCTAATCATGTCTGCCTTTGGGGGACAGAGGACCAGGCTTGCTCCTAACAATAGGAGGCTCCTGAAGTTTTCTACAGGAGGCACTTACACGTAGGTGAGAGAGGAGACGGAATATAAAAACTAAGGCTTTAGCAAAAAGCACAGAAGCCACCTGTGCTTCCAACGTGGGGAAGGATTCAGAGAGGCTAAAGGTCTAAAATAGACGGGTAAACAAGATTTTTATACAGCCAGGAAAAATGGCCCTTTGGTAACGTGACACAGCAGTGATGAAGTGAGTGTTTGCAAAATCTGTCTGGGCTGCCCTCATCCTTCATTCCCCTCCTACCTGCTCCTGGCAGGAGCGTGGGGGTGTCACAGCTGGAAGACTGCAGCCTCCCCTAGAAAGTTAGGGGGAGAGACGGCCCTTGACAGAGACAGAGGTGGCTGGAAAAGGGATGCGGTGTAAGTTTGCTTACTGGCCGTGGGCCTGGCGTTTATCGTTTTCCCCCACAGGAAAATTGCCCTTTTACATCATGGGGCGTTTCAAATAGAGTTCCCATACCCGTAGCACAATAACAGGGCTGCCCAAGTGTCTTCAAAGGAAAGTCGCTATTTGCTTTGTTCTAAGCAGATAATTTGCAAAGTGCTGCAGTCAGCTGAATTTAAGGTTCCTTTTACTTCCTGCCTGATAAAACCCTGGGCCTGTCTAAGTGGCTTGAGAAAGGACAGAAGAAAGAAAGCCAGCCAGTGTTGAGAGCTGGACAGTGCGAATGCTGGGTGGGCCAGCAGGTCACTTTCCTGCGTAGTGATTTTCAAATGTGAGGAATTAAATCAGTTTTCCAAGGAGATTATTGTTTGTTTTTTGGTTTAAAAAACAAGCAAACAATTTCAGAATGTAAATGTATAAGGATCAGAAAATGGGCAAAAATGAAAATAATTAGGTTGAGGCAGTGGGTTTATAGGTAACATTTTTCTTTATCATTGTTTAAAAATTACTATATTTTAAAATTTCCCAAGGGAGACACAAGCACTCATTGTTTGAAGGGTATAGCTCTTGCCCCACAAGTGTAGTCAGATAGGTTTCAAAGCCTCTTCGTCCAAGCGAACTTGGAGGGATCTTTCCTTCCACTTTACAGGCACATTCCATCCTCGTGCACCCAAATGAACTCCTTACTTGAGGCCTCCCCCGTCTAACAGAAGCTTCTGGGGCCAGGCTCTCCCAGGCTCACTAGTGCAGATAACCGGCTGGCTAGTCTTTGGGAGGATGGGCGCCTGCTGTGGCCTCCAGGAGCACTGGGGAGTCGAGCCTGCGCTCCTGGGGGTGCTGGTGGAGTCAGCGTGGTCTTGTCAGCAGCTCTTAGGAGGTGGCTTTTCTCTCTCTAAAACTAACAAACCCACTCAAGCATCAGACCCCTAACCTGGGTCTCGCTGACATCATCTCCTTACTAGTGCACTGACCCACTCAGAGAAAAGTTGGAACGGCGTGGCCTGGCAGAACGCCTTGGGGACTGAGCACACCTTCTGCTGGCAGCCGGGGCTCTTGCCTCACCGCACTCTTCCTGGGCTCCCTCACCTGCTGCGGTTCTATAAACACCTCTCTGCATTTACACCCTCTTTGCCTTTTCTCAGAGTATTTATCGATTATTCCCTGACTTCTTCCCCAGCAAGTTTGTCTTGGTTCTTCAAGACTGGGTTTGGCCACCACCTTTCCTTGGACTGTTTTTCTTCCTTTTGTTCTCAAAACCACCTGGACATAACTTTACCAAACCGGGGGTTGCTGGCGATTCTGCAGTTTGTTCTTTGTTCACTGCTGATTCCTCCACACCCACTATAGTGCCTGGCATGTGTTAGATGCCCAGTGAGTGCTCGTTAAATTAGAGAAACAGCAGCAGATAAGAGTGCTCTTAAGGTGTTGAGAATAGCATTAGGAAAGAATATTTCTTTTTTATTACATTAAATACAGACCGTTAGACCCAATGAAATAAATATATCCAGAGTTATAACATACCAGTGAAGAGAGTTAAAAAAAACTGTCCGAACTTCCTTTTGTTTTTTTCATACAGTCCAGAAAAGTCTGAGTCTAGAATCATAGGAAGCACTCTACTAAGTAGATTTGTTATAAAAATCAAGATCCTAAAGGAATAAAACTTGGAAGACTCATTGTTAACATTAAGAGACTGCTAATATGAATTACATATTTGATTATGCTCAGAAGTTCCCCAATAATTATTTTATTGACTTAGATACTGGTACTGTATCTAATTTTTTAAATTGAATTTTATTGGGATGACATTGTTAATAAAATTATATTGGTTTCAGGTGAACAATTCTATAACACATCAACTGTATATTGTGTGTTCACCACCCCAAGTGGTGCTATATCTAATTTTAAGTTACTTGTTCCTCAGAGACCAAAGATACTGAGCCATAGCAAGTCAGTGGTCTGAAAGTGTGGTCCATTCCCCAGGATCCCTGCCTAAAATGTCCTAGATGTTTATTCTGATAAATGCCATCAGTTTTTGTTCAGCTGTAAATGTTCATATACTGAAAGGAAGGTTTAGTGTCTAAACCACAGAATCTTCAAATTTACTTTTTTTTAAAAAAAGGTCTTTTTTGTTTAAAAGTACATCTTGGTCATAGTGGTATTTTAGACCTCTTTATTTTCTGTAGTAGCAAATTACATGGGTAAACTGTGTATTCTGTAAAGTGGACATTTCATGGGAAGACTCTTCCATAGCACTGCCCTGATACACATGATAGGTCCCCTAAGACCCTAAGACTCGACATTCAGAGATCGGCCTCTGCAGCCAAACCAAAGAGGGAGGCAGCCACCGAAACTGTGTGGTCCCTGGGGCTGCCCTGAACCACAAGCACTTGTGAAGTGTTTGGAGACTGTGGCCCTGAGCTCTGAGACAGATGTGTTGACCTCAGCAGCAGCATCACCTAGGGCCATCCCCAACCCTTGCGCCAAGTGCACTCAGGTGGTTAAGGCCTCGTGAAGGTCACAGTGCACCTCCAGGGCTAACCCGGCCAGTGGGCACCTAGGGCTGTCCTATGCGATGTCCACAAACCACTCTGACTCGACACCTCTTCCTTATGCACAGCGGCATCAGCCTTCTCTGTTTCTTCACGGCTTTTACATGTCATCTCACTGAACCGCCTAGAGAGGCGCAGTGCCGGGGATTCTTTCTCAGCTGCTTCTGTCGTCATTGACTTGATGGAGTTTCCAACCTCTTTGTCTCTTCCATTATCCTACAGCCAAAGAGGGGGGGACACGGGGGACATTGACAATCACCTCTAACTAGATTTATGCTCCCATCTTTAAAATTATATTTTTTCTTATATATATTATTCCAGTTGTCAGATAACTTGCCCGAATTTAGTCACCAACAGTTAGCTGTTAATTACACTTCAGCCCCAGGACAGCATGACCCTCTTTCACCAGTGGTTTCAGCTCTGTGGAGGAACCAGGGAGCCAGTGCTGGGCTGGCTGCTCACCCCATTGCTCGGCAACTTGCCCTCCCTCTCACTGCGCACATTCAGTGTAGGGATTGCTAACACAGGAAACAAAACATGGCAAGAACTAAATTACTCTGGCAAACTTCTTGGGAGTCCTCTGAGGAAGACTTTTTTACTCCATTATTAACCTAAAATTCAGTATACTTGTATTTAATAATGTACTTTTGGAGTTGAGCAGACATTTTAGAGTTTTTAGTGGTCTTTTCATTCAATCCCTATTTCAAAATAGAGGAAACAGGTGCTGTATATTTAACTGTTTATATAAAAATGCTATATATCTGATGCTATATTGCTAAAAACTTTTGTTTTACCCATAAGAACATATGTTTTAGTAACGCCTTTAAAATCTAGAGCATTCCTGGAAAAACAGACTGATAAGTTTTCCTTTTTTAAATTTAACTTTTGAAGCATGTTTGGATTTAATATATTTTTGGAGCAAATAAAAAGATTTATGTAAGTCTATGACAAAATCTTAGTAGTGTGTTTACCTATATTTCTTTATTATTTGCAACATTGCCTTGACAACTCTATCTGAAATACCAGGCTCTTGAAAAGGAAATAAAGCTTGCAATTTGAGGTCATGTTTCCCTCTGCCCTGCTTCGTGATGTGTGGAAAAGGAAACGGAATGGGATTTCATCAGAAACTGGTCTGGTTTAACTTTCTATGTTTTTCCAGATATGATCTTTCTCCAGGGATCAGAGGTCATATTTAAAGTGGCTTTGAGTCTGTTGGGGAGCCATAAGCCCTTGATTCTGCAGCATGAAAACCTGGAAACCATAGTTGACTTTATAAAAAACACACTACCCAACCTGGGCTTGGTGCAAATGGAAAAGACCATCAGTCAGGTACGATTCAGTCCTAACCCTTCCAAAGGCATAAGTACTCCTGGGTATGTAGAAGCTGCTTCTCCTTCTTCTTTTTCTTCTTCTTTATTATTATTATTATTATTATTATTATTATTGAACAGGACCTATCTCCTACCACTTTGTACTCTGGGCAGCATCTTGTGTGTTGCCTGGCCTGTAGGAGTCACATCGAAAATATGTGTCCAGTGATTAAATGCCTATCTGAATGTGCATGTGTGTTGTGAGTACAATGGTGACAGGTCAATGGAAACACCGTGGCAATGGTTAGGTGTGGTAACCAGCACAAATTATCAGTAGTTTCTTATAATTAAAAGACTTCACCCCTAGTTGTTTGTTCTTCTAAAACACATACATTTATTCAGCGTAGGCTTTTGAAAACAAGTGTTTTGATTTTCTGCTGAAAATATTATTTTATAAAAATAACTCTTTCATAGATATGTGTGTGTGTTTTAATAGAATTCACCTCCTCGTCTGTGGTTACAGCACCTTTGGTTTCCGGGTACAGTAGAACCATTACTCTTAGGAATGTTAGGGGTGAGGGATAAATTGAGTCAGGAATTACAACTAGACCAGTTGTTACATGGCCTGGAGCAGGGATGGAAGCAGATTTTGATTCTGTTTAAGGAAGAATCTTCCAGTGACGATTGCTGACTATGAAGGACCGAGCTGCTTAGTGGAGGTTGGGGTCACCCTTGGAGGTGCCCAGAGCCGGATGGCTGAAAATGCTTTGAAGAGAGTTCTGCTTCAGGCACTTCAGGGTCAGCAGTCAGGCCTCTCCTAAGCTTAGAACTTACCTCACCTGCTCCAAATATAATGAAAACATAGAGCAATTGGGTAAAAACAAATAGTGAAATAAAGCTTTTTAAAGAATCCTCATTCTGAGGATTTCTGTTAGTCCAAGAGGAGTCAGTGGTTCTGGTGCTGTGCACTCAGATGCAGAGTTTGTGATTTCCTTAGCTGCCCCTCCTTAGGTGTCGAGCAAAATGGCCTGGAGGGGGGAGGGTATCATGCTGAGCATCCCTTTGGATCTCTGCACGTTGCACAGGCCTGTATGTGAGCAGTTCTGCACTCCGCGTGGTTGTCCTCAGTTCACTGATAAGCTCTGCCTCTGTATTTAACGTCCCTAGCATGTTTCTTTCTATGTCAATAACGCGCTTCTTGAGGCTGCCTTTGCCAAGTTCTGTGTGAATCTATAAATATACATGATGCCATTTAATCATGACCACAGTCCTGAGAGGGGAGGTGGTTTTAACCCACGTGGAACCTGGGGCTCAATGTGGATAATGAACTGGCGCACAGTCACCCCGCTTCAGAGTGGACAGGGAGGGAGGGTCTCAAACTCGGGTCCTCTGGCCTCAGAGTGCTCTAGCATCCATTCAGCACCCCCAAGGGCCTCTGGGTGTCATTACATTACGGAGTTTTTTTATCTTTTACCTGCATGTTGATACCGAATTCTCCACTCTTTAATTTCTGGCATTTATTCCTTTTCAGAGCTTTCATTACATATACTTATATTTTTGGCTGCTGCAGAAACACAGAGAGCCTTGGTCACCTAACTCAAAGTCCACGTCCAGTGAGCACCTTGACTTTGCTCCTGACTGCAAGGCCAGCAGCCTCAACTGATGTTCCATTTACCTCCTGGGTATTGAGCTCCAGGAAAAAATCCCATTTTCCTCCCCTTTTCTGTAAAAGGCACTTATTGAGGTCATCGGGTGCTCCTCAAGTGCTGGAAGAAGGGACGTGGACACAGATGGGGAGAGAAGTTTTGTGTGTGTCCCTGACTTGTTTCAGACAGCTGTTTTGAACTTGGCATCCGTTAGACCACTGACTCCTTGACAACTTGGAACATGTGTTATAATCCCCACTTTAAAGCTGGGGAAACCGGACATGGAGAGAGTAATGTGCCCTCACCCTGTGTAACGTGGCAGAGCCAGGAGTGTAATGTGCCTCTGACACCAAAGCCCGTCCTGTGCGGAAAATAGCATGTAATCCGGTAATTACAAGTGTGGTGCGAGCTGCCACGGTGCTCGTGCGAGGCTCACAGGAGCCGGTCTGGTGGAGGGAGGGAGTGCTCAGGGTTGAGAATTGAAGGCATACAATTCGGCTGGGCCTGAAAGGAGGAGCCAGAGCGTGGCCGGGTAGCTCACTTGGTTAGGGTGTTGTACTGCTACACCAAGGTTGCGGGTTTGATCCCCAGTCAGGGCACATAGAAGAATCAACCAAGGAATGCATAAGTGGAACAACAAATTGATGTCTCTCTCTCTCTGTCTCAAATCAATAAATAAATTAAAAAAAAGAAAAGAAAAGAATGAGCCAAGATGGGTGAGCACACATCTTCCGTAGAGGGCCAGGTAGTGGGATTGTGGGCTTTGTGGGCCATCAGGTCTCTGCCACAACCACTCAACTCTGCCTTTGCAGCATGAAAGCAGCCACAGACCATGTGTATAGGAGTGAGGTGACTGTGCTGCAATAAAACTTTATTTACAAAAACATGCAGTGGGACAGATTCAGTCTGTAGTTTGCTGACTGCTGATCACAGCGTATGCAAAGGCATAGGAGTGGGAGAACAGAGAGAAGTTCCAGATGCCTGACATGTCCCGTGTGTGTGTGCGTGTGTGTGTGTGTGAGAGAGTGAGAGAGAGAGAGAGAGAGGGTGGGGCACTGAGGAGTCCTGGTGTAGGGAACACAAAAATCTACATTTTGGGGCCCAGGTTTTTATTCTGCTAAAATCTTGATGGGAAACTGTTACAATGCCAGGTGGCTCTTTCTTCTTTCCCTCCCAGATTTTCCACCTGGAACTTGCTACCAAAGAGCCCTCTGTCAGGCTTACTGCCCCTCCAGAGGGGGCTCTAATCTGGAGTCCTACCCAGAAATGAGGCCTGGGGTGCGCAGTGCTTCCTCTCTGAGTCTTGGAGGTCCTCATGGTGGCAGTGGTGGGTGCATTCACTCACACATCTGTCCTGTATGGATGGGCAGGTCTGGGCATCCTGTGTGATAGTCATGGCCCCATTTTATTAAATGCCCTCTCCATGGGTGGTCTCAGCTTAGCTGCTGGGACACAGCCTGCATCCAGGATGGGGGAGAGAGTAGCCGGGGACAGGGCTCTGGAACGCTGGCTCATTATGGAGGGACTAGGGGCAGCCACGGAGCGACAGGTCCAGAGTTGAGAGCCCAGGGCAGAGGACAGGGTCTCTGAAGGCTCTGTGGAGTCCCGACCCAAGAAGAGGGGAAACCCGGGGGATAAACAGAAGCTAAGAGGAGGTCAGGTTTGTATTCTTGTCACAGTGAGGGCCGATTGCCTATGCAACCTGATTCAGTGTAAGGGAGGAAAACAGTTAAAGGCAGGGATGGGGGTGGGTAGACACAGCAAAGACCCTATTTTCAGCATCCTTCAGGCTCTATTTAAAGTGTGGCCCCAGCCTTCCAGGTAGGAACTTGTGAGAAATGCAGAATCTGGGGCCCCACCCCAGAGACCTGGTGAGTCAAAATCTGCAGATTTTACAAGATCCCCAGGGGATTCACACTCTGGGGACCATTTTAGCTCTGCTATGGGCAAGTTCATTGTAAACACACCCCGCAGTTCTCTGTTCTAGTTGACTTGCAGGGTGGAAACCAGAATCTTAACAAGGCTCCTTTGTTCAGAAGGCTCCTCGAAGTCAGCGGCCAGGCTGCCTCTTCTGCCTCTGGGAGGAGCCCTGCTGCTTGGGCAGTTTGCACTGTAGAAAATGAGTACTTTTTTAAAAGGCCAGTCAGTGCCAGACTTAAAGGGTGTGGTAGGGTGGGAGAGATATTTTACTTTACCACTGGCATTGTTTAGAATTGTTTGCATGTGGTGGTAATAAAAAGCAGACTAACTATTAGTGAGGTTTATTACTGTCTTTAAATTCACTACAGACCCCACCTCCCCTTTAGGGCCGATACCTGGGCCGACTGCTCCACCCTCTGCCTTTGGTGTGCCACTGAGACCCACAGATGGGGACAGGGTTTGGGGTAGGGAACGTGGGCAGTACGAGGCTAGTTGTGCAGACACCAGGGTTCATGGCTTCATTATACGAAGTGACCACAGAGTGCAGAGAGAAACTCTGAGTCTCCAATAGAACATGAGCCAAAAGCATAGACAATTCTCCACAGAGGAGATCCAGCTAGTAAACAACATCTGGGAAAATATTTAGCTTCATGCGTGATTCAAATGTACATAACATATAATGCTTTACTGACCAGATTAAATTTTTAATGCCAACACACAGTGCCAGGGGTGTACTGTGTCTGGCCCATTCGTATGTTGCTAATGGTGTTATGCATTGATCATTCCCATTTGGGAAGCAATTTGGCAATATGTCTCACGAACCAGTAAAATAGTCATACCCTTTGATTTAGTAATCCTACTTCTTGGAATGTATGCTTAGAAAGTAATCCAAAATATGGGGAAAGCCATATGTACAAGGATGTTGAGAGTTATCGTGTATAACAATAGAAACTTGCGGTAACTGGACAGCCAACACTTGGTGAATGGATTGGCACGGTTGTGATACGTTGAGTTGGTAGGGTTACCATGAAGCCATTTATAATGACCGTTATGAAGAATATATAGCATCTTGAAAAAGCGTTGTTTGAGGACCAGGGCCCTTTTTACCCCAACCATGTGCTGCCATGGTTTTGTGATAAATTCTGGGGCATCACTGCAAAATCTGAGGGCTCTGTGTGTTTGGGGAGCCAGGAAATAATGGTGCAGTTACGCAGAGATGACTATGACCCAGGCGGGTTCCTAGGTATTAACGGAGGCCTGAAAGAGTTTATAGCTTCGGGCACAGTTGAGAGCCTTTAACCTTAGCGGATCATCAATCTGTATACAAGGCCAGAGGTTTTGCTCCCAAGGTTTCCAGGTTAGGAGCTCCTTTAGAAATAAATCTTGGTGAAAGAAGAAGAGGTAACTGTGTGTGACATTTATTCTGCACCATATTTATAACCACACGCCAATGCCACGCAGTCTCGGTTTTGATGTTGGCGGTTTTCGCTCTTTTTGAGCTGTTGAGAAGTTCCGTGATGTGGCATTCTTTGTAACTGGGCTGAAGCATGAGCTTGAATGTGAGAGTTTCACCAGTATATGGAAGCAGATCCCTTGGCTGAGGGAGCACCTGCCTACTCACCTAGCCAGGCAGGTGTGGGAACTCCCATAAGTTGCTTCTTGTAGCTCCCACAGTGATGCTGGAGGCTTGAACTGGGAAAGGTCAAGTGACTTGCTCAAGGTCCTTCAGGAAGTCACCAGTGGAGCCTGACCTGAGACTGACTCAAAGCCTCTGAGTCAGTTTCCTCAACTGAAAATAGAGATGGTGATCGATGCTGACCTCATAGTCACTCAGAGAGACAACTGAGAATTGGGTCAGTACTGTAAACAGTTCACACACATGCCATAAATACAATGTGGATCAGTTTTTCAGCATAGAAAGACTTTTGTGCCTAATTAGTATTATCCATTGAATTAAATTGAAAACCCGGAAGCTGAGAAATTAACCTTAAGGAAGACAAAATAAGATTGTCGTGAATGGTGAGAAAGTAAACATGGTTTTTGAAACTTGATTTCAGGGAAGATAGGACTCACCGTGTGTGAATTCTGATAGAGTGCCATCAGGGGGAATGAGCTTTTCGTTGATTTTTAACTCTGTTGGCCTTTCTTTCTTAAGGAAATGCAGTGAAGAGTCTGTTTCTGCTCTTGTAAAGCCTGATCTCATTCTCTAAACCTGTATTCTGATCATGCTGGCTTTTTTATGTGGTGACTGGATTCTCAGGTTCCCTGAGGACCAGGTTGGGTGCCGAGAGGCACAGCCCTGTGGAGTGATCCCCCCCCCCACCCCCCTGGGAAAGAGAGGAGATGCCTGGGCAGTGGCCTCTGCCCTCTGACCCCCTTTCAGCCCCGCCTCCCTCAGGCTCGCTCACCAAGAGAAAGTACAGACAGAGCCACTCACTCACTCATGCGGCCGGGCTTGTTTTTCACACGCGTGGTGTTTTTATCACTGTTACTATTATGGGAAGGAAGGCAGCGCGGGCATTGTTTCGTATTCACTCATCTGCGTGGGTGACATTTGGGTTTTGGCTCATTTCTGCATGTCTTGTGTGCAAAGAATGGTTTTTAGTAAACAGTTCCATTACTTAGCTGTTCTTGTAAGCCTGAAAACCCCACTGAACTGTAATTAAACTTTGACTCGGTGACTGGGCAGACAGGGCCACGATGCTTTTGTTTTGTTTCCTCCCTTTGACCCATAGTTGATGTTTCTAACCTAATAGAGTTTTCAAGAAAAAGAAAACAAGTACTGGAATAAGAACTCAGAATAAGTTTTGCCAGCCTTTCAGAAAATGAGGTGTCGGCTTCTGGACAATGAGTGTCAGAGACCCACACTTACGGTTACCTTAGGTTTATTTCTAAATGCTTCTTATGCCCTTTCTTCCCAAATAAAATGATTGCTTTCTCAATGCAGGGAGTTTTCCTTAATTGTCACGAACATACCAGGCAGAGAGTAGGTGTTTAGAGGGTGCCCGTTGCCATAGTCTTGTGTGTGTGTGTGTGCATGTATGCATGTGTGCGTGTGTGCGTGTGCATGTGTGTGATTTTTCTCTCTTTCGGTGCCTGACGACTTCTCTGCATTTGACAGGTGTTTGAGATGGACATCTCTAAACAGTTACAAGCATATGAAGTCGAATACCATGTGCTTCAAGAAGAACTTATTGATTCCTCTCCTCTCAGCGACAACCAAAGAATGGACAAGTTGGAGAAAACCAACAGCAGCTTACGCAAACAGAACCTTGACCTCCTTGAACAACTGCAGGTAGACCCATTCCGGAAGCAGCTCCCTGAACCCCGTGTGTACAGTAGTTGATTAACTCACCGGGGGCACCAGCAGGCTGGGCTTTCCCATGACCGCAGGACCTTTTCGTCCCGGTCTATTTAGAGTTGGGATCAAAGGTATCCCGGGAGAAGTGGGCCTTTTTCTTAGGCAGCAGATGGATGATCCTTGGCTGAGGCCAGACAGCTTTCTGAGGGGCTGTTTCTGCCGTTGGCAGAAGACAGGCCCAGAGACGAGCTTGCACTCAGGCCGCCGCGGTGCTCTTAGCTGAAGGCCAGCAGTTGCGCTTTGAGGAAAGACAAGAGAATCAAAGGCTTGCGCTTCCAGGAGCAAAGCCAGGCAGGTCCACGGAGGGATGCTAAGGGAGGAAAACGACATGAAAACCTACCTTACAAAATACACCAGGCACAGGATCATGATACGTGAGTCCCTGGTGCAGATACCAAGCTTGATTAGTGAGGACACGATTCTCCACTCTGGAAGCTTCCATTTTAACGTGGACATGTGCAAATGAGGACATTGTAGAAAGGGAAACACTGACTGTGGGCACAGGAGGGTGACATGAAGCAAGCACGGGGGCAGTCCAGAGACCCGTCTCCCCACATCTCCCACCCACACTCACCCTGGGCAGACTGCTGACCTGCTCTTTCCTGATTCCCTCATTTGTGTCACAAGGACAAGAGGAATTCCTAACTGCTTAGCACACTGCCCCTTTACCAATCAGATCGAAGAAAGGAACCACACGGCCTACTTTTTTAACATCATAAATGGGTGGTAATGCTGTCAGGGTTAAGGAATTGTTTGTGGAGTGTTTAAAAGAATTTTTTTTGCGTTTCCACAGAAAAACACATACTCCTCCCCCCACCCCTAAGTGTATGTTTCATGGTGCCCTTGAGCTGACCTTAGAATAAGCTTTCCATCCTGATCTGAGCCTCTTATTTCTCTCCATAGGAAGTTGCCACTTTGCAGACACAGCTTGGCAGTGATATGAGAAAGGCCAGCCTTTGAGAGCCTAATAAATCAGCCATGTCTGAAATGCATTTCCCTCGGCAGGGATCTGTCCCCGTAGACTGAGTAGATGTTTACTGTAGCGGAACAAAGAAAAATGCTTTCCCTACCCAGTCCTAACTGCCTGTCACATTCAGAAATTTAGCTCTTTTCTCCCCCAAGATTGAGATGTCCTAACTGTCTGTGTACAATCTCTCCAGGACATGTCAGCTGTAATGTGTGGGGAAGCTTGAGGGGATAAAGAGCCTTATCTGGCCTGTAAGGGTCTGTAGTGTAGGTGGTAATTTCAAATGACTTCCAAACAGACAGTGGCTCCCTGAAGTATAACAGGATGAAAGCATTTCTCACAAAGCTCAGGCTTGCATTTGGAGGACTTGGCTTGCTAAGCTAGGCAGTACTCAAGTAAAAAGTTCATTTTATTGGGCTAATGCCCAGGTGACTTATGTGTGTGTGTGTGATGAAGGGTGGAGAGAAAGTTTATGCTGCTTCTATGATATTGTACCATTTTGGGAAAAGCTGCTCCAAAATCTGCATTCCTCAAGAAAGGCATTAGGCCTTTCAGTAATAACAGATGTTCTCCTTGGAATGTTCTTTCTCTTGACCAAGTGGCTCTGTATTTCTGGAGGTACCATTCAGAACCACAGCTTATGCCAATCCACCGGTATTGACTGAGTCCTTGCTAGCCTGCGTGCTAGGGGCCACCAAGATCCGTAAGACACTGTTGCTCTCAAAGAGTTGGGGTACAGAGTGCATTGTGTTGATTTGTGGGTGCTTGTGTGTTGTTTTCCCATCAACCTCTATGAGTCACGTGGGTTTACTGTCTTTCAGCCAGACTCTGTGAGATTTTTACCTCCATCTTTTTCTTTTTTTTTTTTTTTTAGCAGTTTTCAGAGTCCAAGAATAGGTGTTCAACACGATGCTTAATTTTCCAACATAAATCTTTTTTTTTTTTTGGCCAGTGTATCAAAATTTACCTGTTTTCAAACTTTGTTCTATCCTTATAGTTGTTAGACATCCCAAAGTTCCCATTTATTTTCTTGTTAAATACTAAAAAATGTTGTTAGCAGCTGGAGACCAAACAGTTAACCTGTTTTATCCAGTAGCATACATGAGACAATTGCATAGACATGTCAGATAGTGCCAGATAACAACAGACGTGCATTTTCCATGATAATCAACCACAAGTCATTGAACGCCATGAGCTAGGGGCTATGGGAAGCCAGACCCCTGTGCAGGATGAGATGTGCTTTCTCATGGAAGAGCTTCGGTCACATTGAGAAGACCTGATGCTCATGCAGAGCAGTAGGTGGCCCTGCAGAAAGCTCCCTGCTAAGCTGTGGGATGCACCTCAGGATGTTGTGGGCCTTCTGAATGAGCGCTCCTTCCTGGGCAAGTAGTGAGGCCTGACCCAGGCTGTGACCGTGGGTAGGATTATGGGGATCAGAGTCCTGCTTGGAGACACACACCAGGCATGAGCACCCCCTGCCTGGTGTCCTGACAAACTTAGGATCCCAGTCCTTTTCCTTCCTTCTGTCTTGAGTGCCCCAGTGGCACAGACAGAGCTAGACTTTGAGTTCTGACTTGTCTGTCTGGCACAGGTGTTATCTTGTTCAAAACACTGTTTCTCCTGTTTGAAAAAGAAAAGGAAAAAAAGTACAATTTTTCCCACCTGAAATAAATGGGGATGTCTAGAGGGCTGGGCTGGATTAAGGACCCCGTGACCAGAGCACTGCTAGAATGCAGTTGTGCCCCGAGGCCCCAGCCAGAGAGGCCTTGGGACAGCAGGGGTGCCTGTGGTTTTCGCAGGAAACCCCTCAGCTTCACCAGAGGCAACTCACTGGTTGCCTGAGAAGCCTTCCCGAGTGCACTGGAGAGAGAAGCACCTGGAAGTTCTACCTAACTGACATTAATGTTGTGCTAGCTGCTGAGGATGTAGACCAGGTGGGCATGAGAGGACTGCTGAGCTCGCAGTGGTGGTGACCAGTCTGAGAGACGGTGCACAGGAGCCTCTTAGCAGCACGCTGGGCTGTTCTGAGCATCCACACATGTTCCAGGGGAAATGCCCGTGTTCCTTGACATAGAGCTGTCTTGTTACTGTAAGGAAAATAGAATTTCAGATTAGAGAATTATTACTACTTGGGCCTTTACATGGAGTCCCTTTTGACAGTCAGTTTGAAACAGTTTGTCCTTATAAGTATATGTAGTCGTCAAAGTAGGCCAGGCTGTGCTGCGGGAATAAATAAAGCCCAGATATCAGTGGCATAACACAGAGGTCTTTGTCCCTGAAGCTCCACCTCTTCTCCAAGAAGCATCCTTTGGCCAAAGCAGAGCTGTCATCCCTGTAGTGGGTGACTAGGAGCTCAGGCTCCCTCTGCATTGTGAAGCCACCATCTCAGCACAGCTTCCAAAGCAGCCACAGCAGGAGAGGCTCTCTGGTGGCCCAGACTACCTGCAAGGGAACCTGGGAAATGTAGTCTGCCTGTGAGGCCAGAAGCACTGATAGTAAACAGTAGATTCCTCTCTGCCAAAATATGGCCCCACAGCTCCCCAAAGGCTGGACAGGGGAGGGTACTGTGGATGCACCCCCTGTGTCGTCACCGGGCAGTGACATTCTCGTATTTCCTTTTATTCTCCAGGTGGCCAATGGTAGGATCCAGAGCCTCGAGGCGACCGTGGAGAAGCTCCTGACCAGTGAGAGCAAGCTGAAGCAGGCTGCCCTTGCCTTAGAGCTGGAGAGGTCGGCGCTGCTGCAGACGGTGGAGGAGCTCCAGCGGCGGGCGGCAGAGCTGAGCGCCCCGCAGCCCGACCGCGCACAGCCCAGGCCCACGGGCGACTGACAGCACCTCGCCGGGCACGGCTCTGGAGGAGACCTTGCGACACCACCCTGACACTATCCAGGCCTTAACTGAGAGAGACAGAAGACGCTGGACGGGGAGAGTGAAGCGTGAAGCATGCTTCTCAGGGAGGAAGCTGGCTCGCCAGCATGCGGAGTCTTCTGGACTGAAACTTGTGGTTCAGGGGGATGAATGTCCCTGTGTTTTTGTTGTTTAGGTTCCAATTGGTCCTGATTACTGTAATCAGTAGATTTAGACGGCATGGACATGAATAAATGCACTTTTATGTTCCTTTTTCAGTATCACTGTGTTTGTAAAGAGCATTCTTCATACTGTGGAATTTGAGAAGCTGGAGGGCTCGAGATGATTCCTCGGGCAAAGATGTGGGTCCATCGCTCTCCCAGGGAGGGCCGGTGTGACTGCACCCTCAGCAGCATCGGCAGGGCGTGCAGGTGGCCCTGGTCCGTTCTCGTTATGAAAGGCCAAGATGACTGTTAGGAAAGATCGAAGTGATTTATTTAAATTTGACATCTTGAATTTGATCACTATTGGTATTTAATGAAGTTTCTTTTAAAAAAAAAATAGTATTTTCATACATTTTTTGCTTAGTCCTTAAGTATTGATCAAAGTCATTGTAGATGAACGCTTTATGAGAAAAATCACCATTTTTACGACTCTACGAGGTATTGCTCACATGCGACCTACAGTTGTAGAGTCTGAGATATTTATTTCTTTGTGGTGTTTCGTATTCATGTTATAGTTATATATTTATTTTTGCCTGTTGTATGACATAATGCAGCTGTGTGTCCCTTTGAGCCTCCGCCCCCTGGAAATCTGATTCCTTGCAGAGAGATAGCAAGCCACAGCAGGATTTTTAGGGGTGCCAGAGATTTGGGGACTTTCAAAAAGAGATCAGCCTAAAATTGCAATCAAATGTGTGGCAGCTGAGAGCAGTTTTTTGGAGGTAGGATGTGTGTTTTGAACACAGCTCCCAACACAGCGACCCTCCCCTCCCTCAGGACGATGAGGACCTTGTGCCTTCAACTGCTCACGGTGGCCCTGGCTTCACCTGGTCACTGCTTGGGGCCTCCCACGCGCACTCTCAGAATCGGAAGCCTTACAAGGGGTGGGTCAGAGAGAAGCTGTGCGGGCCCATGTCACTCCTTAACAGCAGAATCATTTCTGGTCTTTATCATCCTAGCCCAGCGATTTTCAACCCTTTCCATCTCATGGCACATAAACTAATTGCTAAAATTCTGCAGCACATCAAAAAGTGTATTTTTTGCTGATCTGACCAAAAAAGGTATAATTTTGATTCATTCACACTGGACGGTTATTGTGTTGGCTGTTGTGATATTTTTACTTAACAATCTAAGGAGAAAGAGGTCAGTGCCCCTGACTCAATAGTCAGGTATTGCATGTTTTAAAGTTCTTGCAGCACACAGGTTGAAAATCGCTGTCCTCACCACTTCTTCTATTCCACAGGAGTTTCTTTTGACCCTTTTAATTAAGCCTGAGGCGAAAGGAAGGATTCTCATATTTGGAGTCATTGTCAGTTTCCCCAGGCATTTCAAAGGAAGACAAGCGTGCCACCCCCGGTGCCTAAACATTTGAGTGGTATTTGGGACCTTCCCTGTTCCTGTGTCAGGGGAGCAGTTCTCATAAACCAAGACGACAATCCCAAGTTGTTCCACCAGATAGAACAGGAGTTAACATTGGAGGGCTTCTTTCCACGTATTTTACTGTTTGAATGTTTAATAATGTTGAAATCTGGACATCTGACCATTACTCAAAAACAATGACTCTGCATTAAATAAGAAACAAGAAAGCAATAAAACAATTTATGTGCACACTTTTATGGTGTTTGTCTTTTTTAGAAGCTTCGGATTTTCACTTCTCAGTCCAGGAGTGAAGGAATGCCTCGGGAACACCTACAGGTCAAAGTGTGACTATTACCTCACCATCAGTGGAACCATTTGAAGTCCTGGCGTCTTATGTTTTCAGTAGTGCTTGCTAACCTCCACTCGGGGTGTGATGGTGGCACTAATGAGACCAGCCCCATCACTTGTATGTGCCGGCCGGTGCTGTTATGAGATCATTGGGCAGAGGGGACTGTTGACAGGAGCCTGTGGAAACAGGTCGGACAGTCTCGCCTGTGACTTAGCCAGGGAAAGAAAATACATAGAACCAACTCAAGAGGATGAGCAAAGGCTTCATATTCTCCCCAAACACACTCGAGTGTGTGCTTCAAGGTTGAATTTCTTTTGATACCATTTGTGCCCTCTTAGACTTAGGACATTCTGAGTCCTCAGGAAGCCCATTATTAGAAAACACACAAAAGTTTCTCCTATGCGGAACACTCTGTCCATCGGGGGATTTGTGCTTGTTCGCTTGGTGAATCGGGAGAAGTTGCGCTGAGTGCCGTGGCAATCAGGATTTGTTACAGGAATCGCACCCAACAGGGCCGCGAGGAACTGAGAGTGAATTTGCACGAGGAGGTACGTGAACTGAGGTGTGTGAACCAGCGGATCATCTGAGAAGCAAAACACACGTTCCATGCTGAAGTGGGCCTGGGCAGGTGGCATTCGGGGAGCCCTGTGGGAAGCTGTTGCTGCCACATAGTGCCACCGCTGTGCACCTACAGCCAGATGCCTCAGTGGTGACCCCGGGGCCACTGTAGGTCAACACTGAAGGTCAACACTTGGGAAGAAGAGATGGAGGTGGACCAGAGGAGAGTGAGGACAAGCACCTCTGTGTCTGTCAGTTGCCATATTTGACTCCGATGACCTTCAGAGAAAAACGGCCTTTGCTTCACTTTTGTCTTCCATATCTCACACAGGCACATCTTTGAGCCAATTCCAACATACCACCACCTGGGGAAGGGGGCTCTGGGAAAGGTAGTTCCGACTTAACTCAGATAACAATACAAACCACACCAGTTCATTTTGAAACCTGCCTAATTTGAATGACCGCATGCAGTGTGAGTCATTTTAAGGAGGCCCTCCATCTAAATATATATGATCAGTGATCCATAGAGTTCGGATTCTCAGATTGATTTTGACTTTGAGAGTCACTGATGATGCAACATTGGAGACTAAAAACCGCACCAGACCATGGCTGGCATCCAGGATGACCTGCCATCCTTCATCTGCTCTCCTCTGTCAAGTGTTAAAAATGTTCTACAAATTAAAAACCCAGAAGTTTCCTATGTGGTAAAATAATTTACAGGCCACATTGTCTTAAATTGAAACTTCCTTAAGGATTTGGAATGTCTCAGAATAATCTTGGACTGGGAAAGCTGTAAGGAACCTTCTACTTCATACTAGAAAACCACATCCCACCTCATTTGATAGAGGGACAAGTGAGGTGAAAAGAGTTTCAAAATCACCGAACAGCCAGCTACAGGATCGGAGTAGATCCCCAGCCTTCTGGCTGCCTAATAGTCAACACCGCCCAGCTTTAATTGCAGTGAGATTTAAGAATCATTTCTGATGACATCAAGATTCAAAGCAAGCAAAGGCCTGTGTCATTTTCACTGGGTGACCTGTATAGTAAAGAGTCAAATCAGGTTTTCTCCTGAAATGTGGAGTCTCCAGGGGCCTTAATTTATCATGAGTTAAACCCAGGGGGTTCTCCAGCCCAACCCGCTGTGTGGAGTCAGAGGCAGAGGAAAACTCCCGCAACAGGGTCTGGATCGATGAGTCCAACGTGTGTTCTTGACAGCTTTTCTTTTTCTTTTTTTTTTAAACCTTTAGACTTTTGAAAACCCTTGAATTGTAATGTTTTTCCATTATATAAAGGTTTTTTGCTGCCATTTTTAGAAATGACCAGAATGATTAGGCAAATGTAAGAGGATATGGAGCAGCCCCAAACAATCATTAACTGAACCTTTTGAAATTGATAACAAAAAATAAAAGAATGTTTTAGACTTCACAGATATCTGCCTTCGTATCTCTAAACTGAACAATCAACCATTTGGGTTGTACCCCTTATGAGCAGAGTGTCTGAAAGTACACCACTGGGTGTGTGTGTAGTTTAAAATTTTGTATGTGACTACATTTGATTATAAAAACAAATTTTAAAATGAAGTCAAATAGTTTAAAAATATTAATGATGAAAAAGTTGCTAATCCCATGTTTTTAAGAACAATGAACATTTCATTTTAAATATTGTTTTGGGATATAGTCATTCACATGTCAGTTTCCAAGTTGAGCCCAGGTTGATGGTTGGTTTTAATGCACTTATGCTGGGAAAAGGTGGCTTCCAAAATCCAGTAACTCTTCCTGGAGGAAGGGCACTGCTGGTGACAGTCATGAAGCTCATTAATTCGCTTTGATTCACCAATGATGCAGAGGTTTTTGTTGAAATCTGGTTAGAAAATTTCCATCTCCTCTGCTGGCAGACTATTTCTTGTAAACTAATCCACACATGTTAGAGTTTGAGATTTTTAAACCAAGGACTTTAAAGCACTCAAACGCTTCATTTGGAAAGTTTTGAACAAGTTATAAAAGCCTTTCCAAGACTGAGGAACACTCTCACAGGGCTTTTTGGCCAGAAGGGGACCTAAACAATGGAATCACTTCCACAGATTCTCTTCCGAAAAGCCCTTTACTAGCGCTTTCTCTGCTGTCTTGTCTGGGGACCCCTCGCCCGGAGCCCTCTGCTCTCAGCCCTGGGGCAGGCTCTGGCCTGGGGGCCTTTGCCATGTGGCTTCGGGTCACCTGCCTGTGTGCCTGTCACGAGTCTGGAGGCCCGGGCTGGGCAAGATGCTGGCTGAGTGGAGCAGAAAGGAGCTGAACTCCCCCCACCCCCGTGTGTGTGTGTGTGTGAGAAAAATAGCGGCTGTGACTCGTGTGTGTGTGTGTGTGTGTGTGTGTGAGAAAAATAGCGGCTGTGACTCGTGTGTGTGTGTGTGTGTGTGTGTGTGTGTGTGAGAAAAATAGCGGCTGTGACTCGCTGCCCTTTATGACTACAGTGCCCTTTCCCCGGGACCAGGGGAGATGGGGGGCACTGACAGGTGAGGGGAAGCAGCTTTGTCACATTCTTCCAGTCACATTCATCTGCTTTTCCTCACCCTCTGGCTCCATCTTCCTGACCTTGTTTTTGTCTCATTCCATATTTGGACCCATGCTGACCAATTCTGGGTGTCTCCTTCCTGCCCTTCTAGACATTTTTTTCTAAATCTCCGTGTTTCTCATTTCTTCCAACCGTAGGAAAAGCTGACTGGTTACGGTTAAGCTCTGCCTTTGGTTCTCAGCACCCTACAGGGTCACATCCTGAGCTGCCATTTGGGGAATCTGTA